AATTGACTGAAACAACAATTTTAATATTTATTCATGTTATGTATTATACCTATGTGGCTGTTCTAAAAAACATATTAAAATGTCCAAGAAGGGTGGCAGCGATAATGAAACAAAGCCTCAAACAAACAAAAAACAGAAATTGTTGGAGAGCACTATTAACTTTACACCAAATATTCAAAAAGAAATCCAAAACAAGAAATTAATAGCAGAACTGTACCAAAGGTTTTCACGTATTTTAAGCAAAATCATACTTACTGTATTTATAAAGAGAAATTTAACGAAGCAAGCGCAATTAACTTTACGCCAAAGTTTGTGAAAATATGGTATGACTCTTGTTCTATTTTTAACCTCTCCCCAAGAATTCACTTACCTTACAAAATCTTTCTAACCTTTCTAAGACTAATAGAAAAGGTATTCCACAATCCTCTAGAATTTCCTCTAATTCTTCTCATATTACTGCTATCCTTCAGGTAAGATTCAATGGAGATACTTCGATTAGTTGAGATAACAAGGTGTAGATCTGGATGAACCCAGCAGGCCAAGCAGCATCAGAGGAGCAGGAAGGCTGATGTTTCGGGCCTAAACCCTTCTTCAGAAATGTTCAATTAGTTTTTGGCTGTCGACCTTCTGCCTTTTCTCACAACTGTGGATGCTTCAATTCATTGTTCAGGTTTCCAGCAGATCCAACTGTCCTCCACTCCGTTCTGAGTGAACTCTGTTGACTGCTTTCAGCTACAGTGCTCTGTGAGAACTATTGTAGATTTCTTCCACCAGCTGCAATCTACTGCGAATCTTCAGGCTGCTTTTCTCTTATGAAGTTCAAACTGAGCTAAAGCTTTTCATGTGGTGAAATATCAAGTTTTTATTTTCTCTGCTGTCAAGTTTCTTGAGTGTTGTTGGAGCTGCACTCATCCAGGCGAGTAGAGAGTATTCCATCACACTCCTGACTTGTGCCTTGCAGATAGAGGACAGACCTTGGGGAGTCAGGACGTGAGTTACTTATCACGGAATTCCCAGCCTCTGACCTTCTCATTTAGTCACGAAATTTATAAAGTTAATCCAGATCCGTTTCTGTAAATGGTAACCCCTGGGATGTTGACAGTGTGGGATTCAATGCTGATAATGCCATTGAATGTAAAAGGGCATTGGTTTGAATCTCTCTTGTTGAAGCTGTTAATTGTCAGGCAATTGTTCAGCATAAATGCAACTTGTCCCCTATAAGCCCAAGAGTGGATATTGTCCTGGTCTTGCTGTGTATGGGCACAGTTTCTGAAGTGCTGTAAGTGGTACTGAACATTGGCAGTCACCAACAAAAATCTCTGTTTTGAACCTTATGATGGAGAGAAGGTCATTGATGAAGCTGCTGAAGATGGTTGGGCCTAGGACACTACCCTGAGGAGCTCCTGCAGAGATGTCCTGGAGCTGAGATGACTGACCTCCAACAACCACAGCCATCTTCTTCTGTACCAGGGAGGACGTCAACAGGAGAGAGTTTGCCCCCGATTCTGGTTTTTCCAGGGTTACTTCCTCACTCAGTCAAATGCAACCTTGATATCAAGGGCAGTACTTTCACCTCACCTCTTGAATTTAGTTGTTTCATCCATGCTTGGACTAAGGCTGCAATGAAGTCAGGAGCTGCTGAGTGGTCCTGGCAGAACCCAAACTCGGTATCGTTGAGCAGGTTATTCTTATGCACATGCTGCTTGATGATGCCTTCCGTTACTTTGCGGATGATTGACAGTACACTGATAGGGTAGTAATTGGTCAGGTTGGGCTTCTTGTGCCAAGGATATGACTTGGACAATCTTCCACATTGTTGGGTAGCTGGCACTGTAGTTAAGTGAAAACATTTGCATGGTATCTTGCTGCTGATCTGATCTGTGTGCTACTTCAGAAAAAAGTGCTGTGGTTTACCCTGGCAGTTTATAAGAAGAATGAGAGAAAGCATGAAATGAGAAAAGCTCAATTGACATATCAGTAATCTTCAGTAACCACAACATATGTCTTGCTGATCTCTCAAATAATAATTACCCTTCTGTCACTATGTAGTGGCATTGCAGCTCAATGTAGTGTTCCTTACTGAACAGTCACAGTGTAGAACTGCAGTGATGTTGACAAGCTATAAAACAATCACTCACATCAAAGAAATTTCACTGAAATATGTACAGGAAGTAAATGTCACTAAAATAACATCACTGATAGAAGTGCCTACCTAGAGCAAATTAAACATGGAATATATACCTGGACTGAAGGTAGAAGGTGAAATAAAATGAAAAATTCAAAAGACTTAGCTTAAAATCATGTAATTTAATAATTTAAGAGTATTCCTGACTATAAAAAAAGATAAATTTTAGGGGTCAGTTCTGTTATTCATCAAATTCTAATAGCTACACTGCCTTTAAAACTGAGTTATACCTGATTAAACAGCATGTAAATTTTTAAACAGATTTCAAATAATTATTGTAGGGGTAGGATGAGTTGCAGGAAGGAAGTGAATTTACTGTGGCCAAATTTGCAAACAACACAAAAATTGGGAGGAAAGGCGGTTTGCGAGACAGATAGAAACAGTTTACAGAGAAATATTGACAGGTTAAGTAAGTGGGCAAGAAGTTGGCCAGTGGAGTTTAATGCGGGAAAATGTGAAGTTGTACATTTTGGAAGGGAGAACAAAAGGACAGAGTATTATTTAAATGAAGAGAAACTGAAGAAAGCTGCAACACAAAGGGACTTGGAGGTACTTTTACAGGAAACACAGAAAGCTAGCAAACAGGTGCAGCTGGGAATCAGGAAGGCTAATGGGACGTTGGCCTATATTTCAAGGGAGTTGGAGTATAAGAACAAGACAGTCTTACTGCAACTGTACAAGGTGTTAGTGAGATCACATCTGGAGTACTGTGAGCAGTTTTGGACCCCTTATTTAAGAAGATATATTATTTTGTTGGCCACAGTTCAGAGGAGACTCGCTAGATTGATCCCCATTGCCTTATGAGCAAATGTTAAACAGGTTAGGACTTTACTCATGGAAATTTAGAAGAATGACAGATGATTTCATTGAAACATGTAAACATCTTAAATGCTTGACAGGAAAAATGCTGAAAGCCTGTTTCCCCTTGAAACTTGAATGAAAGATGAGCAGGAATTTCTTCTCTCGGAAGATTGAGAGTCTTTGGAACTATTTGCCGCATAGAGCTGTGGGGGTGGAGCCATTCTGTATATGCATGCATGATCCTATTGAAAAGCAGAACAGCCTTGAGGGGCGAATGGCCTACTCCTGTTTCAATTCTTATGGTCTCATAGAAAGTTGAAACTGTCACTGATTTAATGATTGTTGCCTAAAGCCGGAGTCACAACTGCAGCCAGAACGGACCGCACCATCAGGATTTCTCCGTTCATCTGTCTGCCATCCAGAAGTGTGATCAGTTTCACAGAAATTAATGGCAGCAAATGCTGACAGGTTACCGTCACCAGTGCAAAACTTGGTCCATCACATCTGCTAGAAATGACAAAAGGATTTCTTAAAACAATGAACTCTGCTTGTTAAATCGCTATAATTGCTGTATTGCAAGATCAGATTCGACAAAAGAAAGCCCAAGACATTGGGAATTCTCTCAACAAGAAGGCTGAAGAATGTTAGTTTTAGTTAGGCAAGGTGTTAAGAGATTTGTAGATAAGGCAGGTAAATGGTTGTTGACGTATTGATCAAGCATGTGGCAACTGAATGGCAGAGAAGATTCATGGGGCTGAATGGCCTCTTCCTGTTCCTACACTTCTATAGGTGCTAACTAGGTTACTTTATATGATACAAATTTGATTCAACAAACAAACACAGCAAAAAATGATTAATTATATTTGCTGATGATCAGTCGCAAATAAACAATGGGTTTTCTATGAAAGAAAATACTTGGAATGGATGTCGCAGAGTGATTGCAAACTATCCGAAGAGGATGTGTGAAGATGACATGAGACAGTTGAGTGTGTCATACTCTGACAGATCTCCTGGTAGTAGTAGTTACAAACTGCAGCAACACATTCCAGTGGGGAAAGACCAGTGTCTAAGGTCTTCCTGTTGAAGTTAAATGGGGATCCATTCAATTATTGGGCCCTCCTAGTGCCTCAAATGCATGTAAATATAGTCTTGTATGTGTAAGGGATGTCTTTGGTTCATTTAGATAGAGTCAAACTCCAATGTTTGTTTGTTTCCTTGATATGCTACTGTACAGAACTGAACTGTATTTGTGACTATGTATAAATATATAAAGGTTTTTTTAAATGAATAAGCTATATTTTGAAATAAAGAAAGAGTCTGCATTATATAAGTTGATCTCGGCCAGGTGTTGCAGACTGGCACATTCCAAGGTCCGGGACCATGTGCTGAGGGATGCACTAAAGCTTGGGGCAGCTGTTGCCAAGGTGCAGCGGGGAAAGACCACTGCCTGATATCTTTTCGTCAAAGTTAAATGGTGGTCAGTTCAGTTATCAGACCTTCCCTGTGCCTCAACTGGAAATAGTATTTTACATAAGTAAGAAAATCCTTTGGGTTTGTTGAAACATCGGGAAAGTCAAAATCCAATGTTGGGTTGTTTCTCTGTATGCAAAGATTGATCAGAATGACTGCTCGTTCTGAGGAAGGGTCACTGGACCCGAAACGTTAACTCTGATTTTTTTTCTTCACAGATGCTGCCCAGACCTGCTGAGATTTTCCAGCAACTTCTGTTTTTATTTCTGCTCAGAACTGAACTGTTTTCTTGATCATGCATGTACATGAAGTTTTTTTATGAATAAAGTATATTTTTGACATTAAAAAGGCAGCAATATATGACATTACTTTGGATTAAACTGGTTACATTTCTTTGAGCAATTTAAAGTTCATTGCTGCATGGCACTTTGTGAAATGTACAAAAAAGACTCCTTTTTTCCTTACAAGAATGAACGGTGTTCAGTTATCTTACAAGCTCTGTCTAAAGCTAGATTAATGTTCTTCTTCGACTAACTCTTTCTAGTTGAAACATGGAGCATTACTATGCAAAAGGAATAGCCTGGGACGTTTTCCTATCCATGAAGCTGCTTTTTCAGGTGCAGAGAAAACATTGGAATTGTTACTACAGAAAGGTTAGTTATAAATCAAAATATTGTTGACTGAAGAGACATCTGTTCATTTGGCTTTGTTTGCTTTACGAGCAGTGAATCACACAGTATTTGTTTTTTTCAAGGTGAGGAACTGGGCAACCCTCGTGAAAAACATATAAATTACCTTGATGAAGGACTCCATGCTCCTCTTCATCTGGCTTTACTTGGGGGAAAAATTGAGACAATTAAAATCTGCATTGACAATGGAGCAAAAATTGATTTACCAGAGGTATGTGTTTACAGAGCATTAACACAACGAAAGAAAAGAAAGAGGAACTGAGTTTTAGAAAATCTGAAGTAAGGACAGAAAATTTTGCCATCGAGCTACCAATCAGTCACCAACTACAAAAAAAGGATGTTGCTTTAGGTTTGAACTGGCTGGTTATCAAACAATCATTTTAGCAGTAAGTGCTGGTTAGCTGTTATTGCTTACTGACGCTGAATTCTACTTCATTTTAAAAATGCAATCATTAACATTTAAAAGAGTCAGCGATCACAATGCAAATCATAATTAGTGATTATGTTACCCCCAAACTAAGATGTGAAGTGTGACAATCATAGAGGAAAGGAAGACTAGGACAGTTAAAATATTCTAAAAGATTTGATATGCCGTGTGAGAATGATCTAAAGTTCAAGGTTAAAACCTTATATTTTCTTGTTACTTACTTTTGCCTCTTATTATAACTTTGCTGGAACTGTGTCCGAAACCCCTTTTTCACACCTACACAAAGTTTATGCTGTAACAAAAGCAGAAATTGCTGGAGAAATGCAGTATGTTTGTGAAGAGAGAAACAGAGTTAACATTTCGAGTCCAGTGACCCTCCTTCACAACAGAGTTTATGCTGTACTGCTGTCAATGCTATATCTGCTGGACAAGAACAACACTAAGGAAATTCCAGGCCAATGTGATGTGTGTTGGTTCCAGGAAAGATTCAAGGAGAAGGAAAGGTACTGTAAGGGGAGGCGATGGCCTAGTGATATTATTGCTACACTGTCAATCCAGAGACCCAGGTATTGTTCTGGGATAATGTCCCAGGTAATCCCACCACAGCAGATGGTACAATTTGAATTCAATAAAAAAAATTCGAATTAAGAGTCTGAATGAAGACCATTAATCCATTGCCAATTGTTGGAAAATCCCAGCTGGTTCATTAATGTCCTTTAGGGAAGGAAACTGCCATCCTTATCTGGTCTGGCCTGCACATGACTCCAGACCAACAGCAATGTGGTTGACTCTTAAGTGTCCTCTGGGCAATTAGGGATGGGCAATAAATGCTGGCCTATCTAGTGATGCCTTCATCCTGTGAATGACTAAATAAAAGTTTGCTGTTCCTTTTGAGGGTGCAGAGAAACAAGAAAGGAAATTTCAGAGGAGCACAACCTTTAACATACTGGAGAGAAAGTTCCCAATTTGTATCCAAGTTTCCTTGCTTAACTTGAGCTTGGCTTGTTCCAGCACCATAAGTGTGCCAAGGACTGGGAGTAAATTCAGCTCTTAATGTCCACGATTATTTCAAACAATCATTTCTAGACTTAGAGGGAGGGATTCAGATATCTGGATAATTGGGGCTCATTCTGGGGTAGGTGGGACCTCTACAAATGGGATGGTCTACACCTGAACCAGAGGGGTACCAATATCCTGGGGGGGAAATTTGCTAATGCTCTTCGGGAGGGTTTAAACTAATTCAGCAGGGGGATGGGAACCTGAATTGTAGCTCCAGTGTACAGGAGGTTGAGAGTAGTGAGGTCATGAATAAGGTTTCAAGGTCGCAGGAGTGTACCGGCAGGCAGGAAGGTGGTTTGAAGTGTGTCTACTTCAATGCCAGGAGCATCCGGAATAAGGTGGGTGAACTTGCAGCATGGGTTGGTACCTGGGACTTCGATGTTGTGGCCATTTCGGAGACATGTATAGAGCAGGGACAGGAATGGTTGTTGCAGGTTCCGGGGTTTAGATGTTTCAGTAAGATCAGGGAAGGTAGTAAAAGAGGGGGAGATGTGGCATTGTTAGTCAAGGACAGTATTACGGTGGCAGACAGGACGTTTGATGAGGACTCGTCTACTGAGGTAGTATGGGCTGAGGTTAGAAACAGGAAAGGAGTTGGGAGTTTTCTATAGGCCTCCGAAAAGTTCCAGAGATGTAGAGGAAAGGATTGCAAAGATGATTCTGGATAGGAGTGAAAGTAACAGGGTAGTTGTTATGGGGGACTCTAACTTACCAAATATTGACTGGAAACACTATAGTTCAAGTACTTTAGATGGGTCAGTTTTTGTCCAATGTGTGCAGGAGGGTTTCCTGACACAGTATGTAGATAGGCCAACAAGAAGCGAGGCTACATTGGATTTGGTACCGGATAATGAACCAGGCCAGTTGTTAGATTTGGAGGTAAGTGAGCACTTTGGTGATAGTGACCACAATTCGGTTACGTTTACTTTAGCGATGGAAAGGGATCGGTATATACTGCAGGGCAAGAGTTAAAGCTGGGGGAAAGGCAATTATGAGGCGATTAGGCAAGATTTAGGATGCATAGGATGGAGAAGGAAACTGCACGGGCTGGGCACAATTGAAATGTGGAGCTTGTTCAAGGAACAGCTACTGCGTGTCCTTGATAAGTATGTACCTGTCAGGCAGGGAGGAAGTGATCGAGTGAGGGAATCGTGGTTTACTAAAGAAGTTGAATCTCTTGTCAAGCGGAAGAAGGAGGCTTATGTAGAGATGAGGCGTGAAGGCTCAGTTAGGGTGCTTGAGAGTTACAAGTTAGCCAGGAAGGACCTAAAGAGAGAGCTAAGAAGAGCCAGGAGGGGACATGAGAAGTCTTTAGCAGGTAGGATCAAGGAAAACCCTAAAGCTTTCTATAGGTATGTCAGGAGTAAAAGAATGACGAGAGTAAGATTAGGGCCAGTCAAGGACAGTAGTGGGAAGTTGTGCGTGGAGTCCAAAGAGATAGGAGAGGCGCTAAATGAATATTTTTCGTCAGTATTCACACAGGAAAAAGACAATGTTGTCGAGGAGAATACTGAGAGACAGGCTATTAGACTAGATGGGATTGAGGTTCATAAGGAGGAGGTGTTAGCAATTCTGGAAAGTGTGAAAATAGATAAGTCCCCTGGGCCGGATGGGATTTATCCTAGGATTCTCTGGGAAGCTAGGGAGGAGATTGCAGAGCCTTTGGCTTTGATCTTTATGTTGTCATTGTCTACAGGAATAGTACCAGAAGACTGGAGGATAGCAAATGTTGTTCCCTTGTTCAAGAAGGGGAGTAGAGACAACCCTGGTAATTATAGACCAGTGAGCCTTACTTCAGTTGTGGGTAAAGTGTTGGAAAGGATTATAAGAGATAGGATTTATAATCATCTAGAAAGGAATAATTTAATTAGGGATAGTCAACACGGTTTTGTGAAGGGTAGGTCGTGCCTCACAAACCTTATTGAGTTCTTTGAGAAGGTGACCAAACAGGTGGATGAGGGTAAAGCGGTTGATGTGGTGTATATGGATTTCAGTAAAGCATTTGATAAGGTTCCCCACGGTAGGCTATTGCAGAAAATACGGAGGCATGGGATTGAGGGTGATTTAGCGGTTTGGATCATAAATTAGCTAACTGTAAGACAGAGGGTGGTGGTTGATGGGAAATGCTCATCCTGGAGTTCAGTTACTAGTGGTGTACCGCAAGGATCTGTTTTGGGGCCACTGCTGTTTGTCATTTTTATAAATGACCTGCATGAGGGAGTAGAAGGATGGGTTAGTAAATTTGCGGATGACACTAAAGTCGGTGGAGTTGTGGATAGTGCGGAAGGATGTTGCAGGTTACAGAGGGACATAAATAAGCTGCAGAGCTGGGCTGAGAGGTGGCAAATGGAGTTTAATGCGGAAAAGTGTGAGGTGATTCACTTTGGAAGGAGTAACAGGAATACAGAGTACTGGGCTAACGCTAAGATTCTTGGTAGTGTGGATGAGCAGAGGAATCTCGGTGTCTATGTGCATAGATCACTGAAAGTTGCCACCCGGGTTGATAGGGTTGTTAAGAAGGCGTACGGTGTGTTAGGTTTTATTGGTAGAGGGATTGAGTTTCGGAGCCATGAGGTCATGTTGCAGCTGTACAAAACTCTGGTGCGGCCGCACTTGGAGTATTGCATACAGTTCTGGTCGCTGCATTATAGGAAGGATGTGGAAGCATTGGAAAGGGTGCAGAGGAGATTTACCAGGATGTTGCCTGGTATGGAGGGAAGGTCTTTTGAGGAAAGGCTGAGGGACTTAAGGCTGTTTTCGTTAGAGAGAAGAAGGTTAAGAGGTGACTTAATAGAGACATACAAGATGATCAGAGGATTAGATAGGGTGGACAGTGAGAGCCTTTTTCCTCGGATGGTGATGGCTAGCACGAGGGGACATAGCTTTAAATTGAGGGGTGATAGATATAGGACAGATGTCAGAGGTAGGTTCTTTACTCAGAGAGTAGTAAGGGCATGGAATGCCCTGCCTGCAACAGTAGTAGACTCGCCGACTTTAAGGGCATTTAAATGGTCATTGGATAAACATATGGATGATAATGGAATAGTGTAGGTTAGATGGGCTTCAGATTGGTTTCACAGGTCAGCGCAACATCGAGGGCCGAAGGGCCTGTACTGCGCTGTAATATTCTATGTTCTATGTTTTATGTTCTATAGAGCTTTTATAGCTTGTTCGCATTAGAGTCGCCATGTCTGTAAACATTTGCTTTTGTTTATAATTGACAGAAGGATAAGTCTACTGCCCTTCATTTTGCCTGCATGCAGGGGGCAGTAGAAGCAGTCAAACACATGCTGTCTGAATATGAGGGAGAAAATGATATTCTTTGTCTTCTGGATGGCATTAAACAAACACCATTACACAAGTAAGTTTTTTTTTTAAACAGCTTTCAGTAAAAAGAATTTAACTCTATTTTCAATGTTAATATTTAATGTATAATGTGTAATTTTCACATACAGGGCTGCAACATATGACTACTCAGAACTAGTGGAATACTTAATTGAACAGGTATTCATACAGTTATACATGTTAACTTTGATCAGTCCTATACTGCATGGAAGATTTGGTGTAAATGACCAGATGATAGCTTTTTTTTCAGATAGGAAGCACCTCTAATATCGGAATACATTTACCCAACAACAATCTTAGCCACAAAGTCAGGGAAGGACCATAGTCTCTTATTGGTGCTGAGTTCGCTGATCAAAAACTGAAGGAACTGCAGATGCTGGAAATCAGACACAAAAACAGAAACTGCTGAAAAAACTCAGCAGGTCTGGCAGCATCTGTGGAGAGGAAGCAGAGTTAATGTTTCAAGTCCAGTGACCCTCCTTCACAACAAAGATTGCCGATTTCAGCCTTCTGGGATGGAAAGCTGTTTTTGAGCATGTGCACCAAGATTAGTTGAGAACAAAATCAGGCTTGACCTCACTAGCTCAGTTTAGGAAACCTGGTCAGCATGAACAAGTTGGGCTAAAGGTTTGTTTTTATGCTGTATGATTCTATATACAATAAAAGTTTGCACGTATGTGGTACCTTTGATGTGTAATCCCAGTCCGTGACTGGGAGATTAAACCAAGGACCAAGTCTGGCCTGTCAGGGAAATTTAACTAACCTCATGACAATATTTTTTGAAACAGGAAAGAAATATTTGACCGTGATTAGCATTATATAAACAGACTCCCTAGCCGTTAAAACTTTGCTGTTTGTGGGAACTTGCTGTATGGTATATCTTTCCTACATCACAGTGATTGTAAATCAAAAGTTCCTTCTTTCCAGCCACTTTATTCAAGTTGTTTTAGAGCTGATTAAAGTAGGAGAGACATATTGTAATGTGTCTGAGCTCTGGAACATGCATGTACATTGATTAATTTGTAAGTGAGTAAAAAATTCCCTGTATTTAAGTGCAAGTAATTTTCAGTTTTTTACATTATAGGGATCAGACATGAATATGACTGACCGTGAATCCCGTACTCCTCTTCTGTGGGCTGCTTCAAATGGAGCTTGGAATACGGTGAACCTTCTGGTGAATAAAGGTCAGGTGCCTTCACTATTCATATATCGATGAGTGAGGGCATTGTCGATTGTGCTGACTCTCTGTTGCTCTATGGATTATTTTATCAAGCTATGATTGTTGAGCTATTACTCAATTTTACTTCTATTTCACCTTCCAAACCCATGGTTACTACTAGAAGGCTAAGGGCAGCATATACATGTGGACACTACCTACTGTAATTTCCCCTCCAAGCCTCATATTATCCTGACTTGAAAAGACGTTGCCATTCCTTCAGAGTCCCTGGGTCAAAATCCTGGAACTCCATCCTTAATGGCATTGAGCATTTACCTAAAGCACATGGGCTGCAGCAGTTTTAAGAAGGCAGCTCATCACCACCTTCTCAAGGGCAACTAGGGATGGACAATAAATGCTGGCAAGCCAGTGACAACCACATCACATGAATGACTTTTTTAAGATCTATTTTTGTTTCGTTGGTTATGGGTACCATTGGCAATGTTAGTATTATTGTCCACTTTGAGTTGATTTCTCCTCGAGCCATTGCACTGCATTGGATGGAGATGACCCTCAATGCTACTTAGCTGTGGTTAGATGCAGTTGGGTAACTTGCAGGTAACATCAGAGATTGGTTAAGAATCATCTGTGTTGGTGTGGGACTGCAGGAATGTATATGTCAGAGTTGTTATGGGCCAGACCAGATCCCCTCAAAATATTTTAAGAATGTAGCCTAGACCCTAACATTTTCTTATTTTAAAGGTAGATGTGAAGTGCTGTGTTCCAGAAGTAGTGCGACTGGTCCATCTACTCAACGTTAAACAAAACACAATTTAATTAAACACTATGGTTAAAATACAAACAAAAGAAAGAGGAAATTAAAATTACTTAACAATTGGAAAAGTTAACAGATACAGTAACTATTACTAATTAACTTTTCCAATATCGTAACATCACATAAACACACCCCTTGGCAAAAAGGCAAATTCAGACACAGATTCTCACATGCAATTCTCCAGTCCAGGTGGAAAAAACATCAAGAGAAGATTCAGAGAGAGTAGCAGCTAAGAGACATTCACTGAAGCTTCCAACTTTTTTGAGACCCCCAAACCTCCCGATGTTACTGAAAAAAACAAAACCCAGAAATCTGGATCTGTGAAGTCTGGCCACACCCATTCAGGCTGTTTTTTTACGGTCCTCACAAGTTATTTACACAAGTCCTCTTCAGTAGTCAGTTCTGTGCCTCTGCCTTACAACCACTCTTCAAAAAAATATCCAGGACAAAATAACCTTTTAAAGTGACTGCATCATCACAGAGTGCGTGAGTACAGCTAGTTACAGCCCAATGGCCTAAACGTGGAATTCACCCACCCCCCAGCCTCATCCCATGACCAACCGTCCCTCTCACCCCTGCCTCCTTGACCTGACACAACCTGTCCACCTTCTCTCCCACCTATCCGCCCCTCCCACCTCACTGACAATCCCCACCACTGCCTACCTGCTCTCACCTATCACCATCCCACCTACCTTCCCCAGCCCCACCCCTTCTCTCTCTACTTACTTCTCAGCTCCCTTCCCCCTCCCCATTTCTGAAGAAGGGTCCTGACCCAAAATGTCAAATTTCCTGCTCCTCTGATGCTGCCCGGCGTGCTGTGTTCCTCCAGCTCCACACTGTGGTATCTCTGACTCCAGTATCTGCAGTTCTTACTATATCAAGTAGTTTTCTTCCTTAAAAGACATTACTAAAGGGACTCTGTTGTTGAAAATCCTAAAGCTTCATTTTCACTTTTTTTTCACATTTCTAAATTCCATATTTAGGAAGTAAAATTTGAATTCTCACTCTTGAACTCATACTTTCTATAATTTGTACATTTCTCGATTACTAGTGCAGTTACATAGCCATGACAGTATTGCTCCTAAAATTAAGGAAGGGTAATTTCCTTTTGTGTTCCAGAAGTGATTTGAAAGGAACAGATTCTAGCTGCTAATGTTATGGCGAATTATCTGCTCTGATGAATATTTCTTCATAGTTAACTGATTATTAAGAAAAACTAAACATAGAATTACAAAATGCAACTCCTGCTTATATAAGATACATTAAAATTTATGAATCAATGAGACAGATGTTCTACTATTACTGTAGATTTCTTACGTTTGGATTAACCTTTCTTTGGTTATCAAAACACCATATGAAGTTCTGGTATCTTTTCAATAATAGGAGGTACACCAATCTTGCACTCAGATACGTACAGATATGTGGTAAGGCACATAGTGTGGAATGGATATCATGACTTCCACACTTTAGTATGACCTTTGTGGCCAGTCCAAACCTGAACAGAGAGGCCCAAGGCTTGATGGAGAGCAGCCCTCCAACAGCATCATCATAGTTGGCATGAGGAGCTGGAAACATTTCTTCTTCTAATAAACCATTTCTCCTCACCCTAGGTCCAGAGAATTCATTTTTAATTTTCCTGACATTGGAGGGGATATGGTTGCTGAAGTGATGAATGGGATAGGTCCACTACTATGAGCCTGTACTGTACCTGTAGGACAGGGTCCAATGCCTATCTTTGACTTGGTTCAGCATGGTTTCCAACAAGGCATTCAGAATTAATGGGTGGCACGGTGGCACAGTAGTTAGCACTGCTGCCTCACAGTGCTGGGGACCCGGGTTTGATTCTAGCCTCAGGTGACCGTGCAGAGTTTGCATGTACTCCCTATGTCTGTGTGGATTTCTGCCAGGTGCTGTGGTTTCCTCTCACAATCCAAAGATGTGCAGATTAGGGGGGAATTGGCCATCATAAATTGCCTATAGTGTCCAGGGATATGCAGGCTAAGTGGATTAGCCATGGGAAATGCAGGGTTACAGGGATAGAGTCGGGGGCGTGAGTCTGGGTGGGATGCTCTTCAGAGGGTTGGTGTGTGCTCGATGGGGCAAATGGCCTGATTCCACACTGTCAGAATTCAATGAATGAATTTACCCTCTAGTTCTTGTGCTGCAGTGGTTCTTTAACAACCCACTGAAATGGGCTTTCCTCAAGCATTTGGCAAAGGACTTTTCAAGGGCCGGGCTTTCGTAGTTAAACCTCACCCTTACATCAACTTACATCACTTACTGTTGCGTCAATGATGGAATTCTTGATACTATCTCATTACTTCTTTTGCAAAGTTTGTCTGGAAATCAAATTGATATTTACAAATTCAATAGCAGAAGAAAACTAACCAGGAACAAAAGGACCTTTGAAATAAGTTAGCATTTACAGCAGTCTCAATGTCAGATAAATTTCTATAATCACAGAGAGGAATAGGCTATCCACAACAATTAGCTCCCATAACTTTACTAAACCATTAACATCTTTGCAGCACTTCAAGTAAATAATGTCATTTCATCTGCATTCCAAGCAAACTATGGTCATTGGGTTTCTGTTTCATTTCTATTTATAATATGGGTATGTCCAATTTTTAAGATAAAAGTAGAAAATAATTAAAAGTGTTTGCATTCTTACAATGATCTGTTTGAAGCAGTGACTCAACTTTTGAATGAGTTAATCTTAAAAGACTGCTCCAGGTTAAGGTTCCGCAATTGTATCAAATTATTTTACGGTGGGAACTGCACTAGACAGGAGGTAGAATTTTAACTCTTAGATCCTATTAACACCTTAAATATAAAAAGGGGAAGCTGTCATATTCCTACTGAACCATAGGGCTGCTATCTTATTCAAGTGATGACTGGCAGTGGTTTAACCTGAGGGTCACCATGCCCCAGGTGAGGGGCAAGGTTGAGAAGATCAGTATTTGTTGCCTGTCCCTAATAGCCCTTGAGAAGATTCTCTAAAATCTGGTAGGCTGCCTCACTATAACAGATTGGTATTTGCAGTTTCCCAGTAATTTGTTGGAGATTGAACTTTGGGCCACTTCACTCTGGTATTTACTCCCAAAGAAACCAAAAATGTTTTCATGCAGAACATTGCCAAAAACTCTTTGGAAGTCTAGGTATAGCATATCATAAGGTGTTTTTTTCTCTGTCACTTCCTCTTGAGAGCCAAATCATAACAGTCTCTCTTATTAAATTGATAAACTATTTTATATTGTGATTTCCTTAGGAGCGAGTATCAACATAAAGAATTGCGCAAAATGTAACTTCCTTCATCTGACTGTTCTGCAACCCAAAGGTCTAAAAAACCTCAGTAAAGAAATTCTTCAGGTAAATTCTTCTTCAGGTTTCCACTTGATAGTTTTCAGGCATCGTGTTGATTTCTTTTATGGTTAACAAGTAATATGGTCAGCCCTGGTGTAAAAATTAGCAAATGGCTGATTTATGAATTTATGATTTATGCCACAGAAAGCCGTTGAGTCCAAAACATGCATGTTTTCAAGAAGGAGTTAGATATAGTTCTTAAACCTAAAGGGATCAAAAGGAATGGATAGAAAGTCTGATCAGGGGACTGAGTATGATGATCAGGCATGATCATATTGAATGGTGGAGCAGGTTTGAAGGGCTGAATAGCCTACTCCTCCTCCTATTTTCTATGTTTTCATGCAGAATTTTCAACTTACCAAGCCATGTTCCAGTTTAAGAACTACAGAGTGCCTCTGAATATTCAAATCCGAAAAGATGCTGTAGGATTATAACAGCTTTCTGAGGCATAACTTTTCAGAAAATATTTTGTTTTAATTTGCTTACTCGTTTGTTCTTTAACATTTCTGTGTATATTTGCAGTCTGAGAAAGTACAGGAGCTGTTGAACGACCAAGATATTGATGGCTGTACTCCACTGCACTATGTGTGTAAACAGGGATTAACAGAATCAGTGGAGAAAATGCTGAGCTTAAAAGCATCTCCTTATCTGAAAACTGTAGATAAGAAATCATCACTGCATTTTGCAGCGTGGTAGGAAGGCTCTTATTTTCAATTTTTTTATCTAATTCTCAAGATTTTATTTGCTCAAATAGAGGTCAGGATAAATTTAGAACTAATAGAAAGAAGTAATGTCCAGGGATGTGCAGGCTAGGTGGGTTAGCCATGGGAAATGCAGGATTACAGGGATAGGGTAGGGAGGGGAGGTGGATCCGGTGGGATACTCTTCATAGGGGCAGAATGGACTGGATGGGTTGAATGGCTTGCTTCCACACTGTAGGGATTCTATGATTCTATTTGATTAGGGGTTGTGTACTGCATTGCACTAAAGTATATCATAAAAAATAGTAAATGATTTGTGCATTGAGTTTAGGAGTTGGTATATCATGATGTGGCTGTACAGGACATTGGTTAGGCCACTTTTGGAATACTGCATTTAGTTCTGGTCTCCCTGCTATAGGAAGGATGTTGTGAAACTTAAAAGGGTGCAGAAAAGATTTATGAGGATGTTGCTGGGGTTGGAGGGTTTGAGCTATAGGGAGAGTTTGATTAGGCTGGGTCTATTTTCCCTGGAGCGTTGGAGCTGAGGGGTGACCTTATAGAGGTTTATGAAATCAGGAGGGGCAAGGATAGGGTGAATAGACAAGGTCTTTTTCCCAGGATAGGGGAATCCAAAACTAGAGGGTATAGGTTTAAGGTGAGAGGGGAAAGATTTAAAAGGGACCTAAAGGGCAACTTTTTCACACAGACGGTGTGGCGTGTATGGAATGAGCTGCCAGAGGAAGTGGTGGAAGTTGGTACAATTACAACATTTAAAAGGCATCTGGATGGTTATATGAATAGGAAAGGTTTAGAAGGATATGGGCCAAATGCTGGCAAATGGGACTAGATTAATTTAGGATATCTGGTTGGCATGGACACATTGGATTGAAGGGTCTGTTTCCGTGCTGTACAACTCGATGATTTGATAAACATTAAGTAGGAGGAGACAATGCTGCAATATTACACCAGACTGATTGAAAAGCTTTCATAAATGACAATAGTAAAGTTCACACAGTTTATATGTTTAATTTAGGGAAACTGACATTTTGTCAAGTGTTATAAATTCTGACTGATACTTGTGCTAATTTAGCAATAGGTATCAAGACACCATACACTATTATATTTGTTTTACTTGCGTTATACTTTTCAGTGTAACAGAAATCTTGGAGATAACATGGTTTCTTCCTATTTCCATGGTACACAAGCAGAACTCTTGTCTCTGAATCTGAAGGCTGTGGGTTCAAGTCCCATAGCAATGCAGTGAACACAAGAGCTAGACTATCACTTCAGGGAGTGCTGCACTGACTAGAGGTGGGGGCTTTTGGATAAAAGAATAATCTGAGGCCCAATCTGTTCTCTTAAATGGTTGTAAAGTAAAGCATGCACTTTTTTCAATAACAGCAGGGGCCTTATTCCTGGTGGCCAAGTCAACTATGCTAATACATTTCCGTCAACCAACATCATCAAAACAGCACATTATCTGACCATTAGTTCATGGCCAATTTTGACACCTGGCTGTTTGTGAATTGGATTCCTACAATAAATCAAGAATTTAATTTGTTGTAAAACTCTTGGGACATTCTGATGGTATGAAAGGTGCTATTGGAATGCAATTATTCATCTATTCTACTATTTTGCATGTGCATTCAACATTTAACTACAAAGCTGCAGGTCCTGTTATAGTCTCACACACTTTTGTCACATTTTTCATCTAAATTCTGATGTCTTTAAGTCTACTGTTAAAATTGTTGATGTTAATTTATCAGCCTGTAATTGTATAATGTGACCACCTGATGGCACTATTTTTAAAGGTGAATTATTGAACGATAGAACACACCAAATTAATTTGCCTGTTGTGCTAAGTTCACTCTTTGATAGAGCTTCCCTACTGGCCCTTTTCGTTTTCCCTTAGCTCTTTAAATATTTTCCTTCCAAGTCTCTTTACAATAAGTCGCTTTTGTACCTTCTCCAAGGTCTTGACATCTTTCCTAAAGTATTATTTCCAGATAATGAATGACCAGCTTCCAAAACAACTACCCAATTTCCAGATTTGAACTTGTGTTCAAAATTTTAAACATTTTCACTATCTTAGGACATCCCAAAGTTCTTCCAGCAATGAAATATTTCAGGAATATAGTCACTGTGAAATGTCAGGAATACTTACCTTCTCCACTTGCCTTGCCAGCTTCTAAGACTATTGCGCACAGTCTGTAACATTCCCTCACTAACACCTGAAGAAGGACTGAGGCTCTGAAAGCTTGTGATTTCAAATAAACCTGTTGAACTGTAAACTGGTGTCATGTGATTTCTGACCTCATCTTAGATTGGAGATCCCTTACTTCAAAATTGTCCCTCCTTTTACTAGATTTCGTTCCCCCAGCATCTACAGTGTCAGGATCCCTCAGAATCTTCTGTGCTTCATTTTCCTAAACGCTGATGAGTATAGATCCAACTGACACAATCTGTCCTCATACAAAGAGAACCTTTTCATCCCTGGAATCAACTTAGAGAATGGTGTTAAATGTAAACCTAGCCCTTGTTAAATGAGGAGACCAAAACAGTACACAGTACAGTAGATGAGTCTCACCAACATCCTGCACAGTAGCAGCAAGACTTCCTCACGTTCATGTCTCGTCATCCTTGCAATAGAGGAGAACATTTGAATGTGCTTCCTAATTACTTGTTGTACCTGCACGCTAATATTTTGCAACTCACATACACAATTCTTCTGCCCCACAACATCCTTCAATCTCTCCACATTTAAAGAATATTCTGCTTTTCTAATCTTCCCACCAAAGTGCATAACTTCATATTTTCCCAAACTATATTTCATCTTTCAGATTTACTCCCATACCCTTTGCAGACATTTTGCATCCTCTTGCACCTTAGTTTCATCTTTGCATCGTCAGCAAATTTAGCAACTATACGTTCAGTTCCTTCAGCTGAGTTATGTACAGTGGCCCCAGCACTAATCCCTAGATGCCCATGCAGGCCCTAGAGGAGTAAAGGTCACAAAGGGGTTTAAACACAAGGATAAGAATATTAAATTCACTGTGATGAAGTCTGATTGGGAACCAATTTATTTTTAACCATAGTTATGGCCGACTCAGCACTTGTAAGTTATTGCTGCAGAATTTAAATGAGACCAAGCTGTTGAATGAAGGAGATGAGAAAGGAATGACTCCATTGCATCTGGCGACACAGAATGGACATACCAGAGTGGTTCAACTACTCCTCAGAAAAGGAGCTCTCCTAATGAGGTAAATGTGCACTGAGAATTACTTTAACATGGATTATAATTTCTAGCTATGATTGTTCACTGTGATTTGGTTATGCAACTTATTTTGTAGGTTAGGCAACCTACTGGCTTTAAAAATAAGCACAGAGGGTGTTATCATTTATTTATATTTCCTTTGTTGAACACTGTTAGAATTGACTTTAAAGGGAGTAGACCTCTTTCCCTTATCTGCAAACAGTATCAAGTAGGTTTCCTTTATTTTGTTCAAAAACATGCATCAATCTTCACTTTAAGAAGCACTCCATACTATACCAATATAACATTTCTTTTTTCCCACATCATTTATTTTTATTTGGATTTTGTAATCTATATAATCAATTTTGATCAGTTTTACCTTGTGGATTTATATTTATTTGGTGTTTGGGGGAGCTGCCCCAAAATTCAAAAAATAAAACTTTTTATGCACTCTATGTAATAAATGCCTTTTCCTAATATTTATTCGGGTAATTCTATGAGTTTCCCTTGTTGTCGAGGAGCCTCAATCACTGACTGAAATATTAGTCTATTATAAAATCAGAAACAGAATTTACAAAGCCACAAGAGTTATTACAGCCTATCATCTATGTTAGCTTCCTAAACAACTACCCACTTAGCCCCAGTCCTTGCCCTTTCCTCTTTTCCATTACTTTAAAATAAAATGCATAGATGCACTGAAGTAACTCAACCAGGCTTCTTTGACAGCCTCTTCCAAGCCTGCAACCACTTCCATCTGGAAGGACATGGGCAGCAGATATATGGGAACACCACCACCTTCAAGCTCCTCTCCAAGCTACTCACTGTCCTGACTTGGAAATATATCACCATTTTTTCAGTGTGGCTGGAACATTCTCTTGGAACTCCCTCAATAACAGTACTGTGGGTGCTGCTACATTCTATGGACTGCAGCAATTTAAAAAAGCATCTCAATACCTCCTCCATGTCAATTAGGGATGGGTAATATCTGCTGGAATAGCCACATCAAGGACAAATGAAGAGAATATGGCACCCTTTTAAAATCCAATGGGATGATATTCCCAATCAGTCGTTCTGGTAGTGGATGCCATGCTCTAACAATCCTTTGTGAGGAAAACAAAGTGCCATTGTTTTCTGCTCTTCCCACCGTAAGCTCTTATTTAGACAAACAGGAAGCTGGAAGAACACAGCAGGCCAGGCAGCATGAAGGGTAATACCCAAAACGTTGACTGCTTCTTTCCTCCAGATGCTGCCTGGCTTGCTGTGTTCTTCCAGCCTCCTGTTTGTCTACCTTGGATTCCAGCATCTGCAGGATTTTTTTTGTCTCTATAAGCTCTTATTTACTTGGCTGTTCCACTGAATCCACTGTATAGCCACCAAAACATGACCATAATTGAAACTTTGAGTTTGCCAATGTGGTGGGTGGAATCTTGTGCTGCCTGATGTAAAGCTAACAAAGGTGGAGTGAGTGGAACCAGAGACAGGGACTACCTACATCAGGCTCTGTACTACCTTATCCAGAGTTTTAACCCAATGCTGCTTCCTGCCCAGACAGATACTAGTCTGAAGTATCTCAGGTTGTGGGTGCCTGCATGTACTCTATCCCTGAGATTGCCTTCTCTTTATCTTTGAGTAAACTTTAAAATCCTCATGTGTTGTAACATTCATTCATTTATATCTGTGCATGGCAGATTATCAATAAACTTTCTGAGTCCAGCATATAAAAATACCTTTTACTTCCCATGCTCTTTCTGGACTTGTAACTTCTAGCTCACTGATATTAGCATTAAATGATCAGCTATAACATTATGGTGCAGGGCTGGACGAACACAGCAGGCCAAGCAGCATCATAGGAGCAGAAAGGCTGACGTTTCGGGCCTAGACCCTTCATCATAACATAACAAATCATAACATTATGATTTGCTTGAATCCCATTGGGTCAAAGCCAGTCCCCAATATCCCTGCCAAACTAATGCTCCTGTCTATTCAATCTGAATTATTCCAATGGACCGTGCAAAGATCACATGTTGAGGCAATCTGGAACTTTGTTTTGATATCCAATCTGGTTGGCTTGAATTCAGTACCTGGATGATGATGATGTCCTGTGTTTGAAACAGCTGTACCTCTCCGTACACGATCTGATGTAGTGTAGGCATGGCTGTCCCACATTCTGTACAAGTTATTAGACTGAGCAAGATCAATACATTTCTGTCCTTGCTGAATGCCCATTCAGATGCTCTGACAGTATAAGATCTTGGTCAATCAATTTCTCCAACGCCCAGACTTCTGACATCCTATCCCTTAATCAGGCTTTCTTCCTTGGCTTTATGTTTGACAGAGCTTCCACCCTGCATCTAGAATTGTCCCACCTCTGATGCTTTTTTGCTGTGGCTTTTCTGGGGTTGTTATACCTTGTGGTTTTGGCAGACTATGTTTGACCTGAAACTGTGCTTTTAAAATTGGTACGTCTGCTTTTACCCCATCCCCTAGCCTTGACAGTCCACACTGCTCTTTCTATCTCAGCGATTATCTGAGAATGGAATGGAGAACTTATCACCCAAATCGTTGTTGATAAATTGAGGTCCATTGTAATATACTCATTCTTCCAAGAAACTGTGTATGATAAACATCCCTTTTATTGCTCCCATCACTGAGCTTGCAGTGATCAGATGAAGTCTTGCCACTTCTATCCACCTAGATTAGCAGTTGACCAGGACTAAATACATCTCCTCTTTCAAATGAAGAAACCCTGTTGCTAGCCCTTCACTTGGCCTATTTGGAAATCTTGATGAAATCATTGGCTTGTAGGCACTTAGCTATGTAGGCCATAGACTTGACACAAGAGAATGTAAGCCAGTATGTCTTTTGAAATCAAAAATAGAAATTGCTGGTAAAGCTCAGCAGATCTGGCACCATATGTGGAGAGAAATCAGAGTTAATATTTCAGATCAAATGTCCCTTCCTCAGAATTAATGGTGGCTAGGAAAGTGTTGGTTTACATGCAGAAGATTGGGTTGGGGGAGGGGTTAAGGAGTAAACATTCGAGGGAGATACAGGCCAAAGAGAGAGAAGAACAAAAACAGAAATTGCTGGAAAAGCTCAGCAGGTCTGGCAGCATCTGTGAAGGTAAAAACAGAGTTAACGTTTTGAGTCCGGTGACCCTTCCTTAGAACTGATGGCGGCTGGGAAAACGTCAGTTTATATGCAGAAGAAAGGCGAGGGGTGGTGGGGTAGGGAGTAAACGAAGGGATAGAGCCTAGAGAGAGAGAAGAGCAGTTGGACAGACAAAGAGTTGATAACGATCAGGCTTGGAGGGTAAATAGTTGTTAATGGGGACTGTTAGTGACTAACAATAGGTAGTGTGTAATGGCAGGCTATGTGATAACAATAGAAAGAAGAACAGTTGGACAGACAAAGGAGTGGATAATGACCTGGCTAGGAGGGTGAATAGCTATTAATGGGGACTGTTAATTGTTAACAATGGCTGTTGCGTAATTATGAACTATGCAATAACAAGGCCTGGAGTGTGGGGGACACTGCAGCCTTCTGGACTCAATATTGAATTCAGTAACTTTAGCTGTCCCATATCCTTATCCCAACTCCTACACTCTATGCTGCCAGACCTGCTGAACTTTTCCAGCAATTTCTATTTTTGTCTCTGATTTACAGCATCTGCAGTTCTTTCGGTTTTTATGTCCTTCGAAGTGGCTCACTACCACACTGACTGTGTGCTGTTGCTCTGCACTGTGATGCTTAAATATTCCCCTTTGAGTTGCAAAAGGATTTCTCTTCTCATTGACTTTGATACAACCGTTCCATGGTTGTACAGCAATAACTCTTCCGTGATTACCAAGCATTGTTTTAGGGTGAGTGGTACCTCTTCAGCACTTGGTTCCCAGGATTATGTTTTGACCAGCCTTGCAAGTCATGGTTTGTCCGACCTTTCTGTGCCTTTCTTTGTTAGATTTCTGAGCTATGTGAATTTGTCTGAGTTTGCCCTCAATTGTTCATCAAGTGCTGGTGATTCCAATTTTATGAAGCTTCATGAAAGTTATTATCATTTAGGAACAAGGCTTCTAAAATGGAAGAACCAAACGCGTCTTTAAATTTGAGTTGTATTTCTATTTTGTGCATGTTAACAGGAGTCATCATTCAGTTCCCTATGGACTTGTTTTTTGAGTGTCATTTATGTGATATAGAGCCATAGCGATCTACAGCACTGAAAAAGTCCCTTCAGCCCACCATGTCCATGCCTGTCAAAAACAACCACCTAGCTATTCTAATACACATTTTCCAGCACTAACTCTCTGAACAGCATCCCACCCAGACCTAGACCCAACTCTATCACCATCACCATCACATTTCCCATAGGTAATCCACCTAGCCTGCACATTCTTAGACACTACGGAGAATTTAGCATGGCCAGTCCATCTAGCCTGCACATCTTTGGATGTGGCTCTATCAGACTTGTGGCCAATGAGTGCCATAGTCTCAACCTGCAGAATCTCAAAAAACAGCCTTTCCAAGCCTGAAATAAGGCTTTGCCCTCCATATTTCTTGACTCCCCAACTCCCAAAGACTAACTGGTACTTCCTTATGGTGCTGAAATTCCCACGCCTCAAGTTCCAGCCTGAATTTCCTGTGCCCTCCCTCCCCGTCTCCATAGATGCCAGGAACCATCTGCAAGTGTCACCTACCCTGTGGCCTCCTGGTGTTAAGAACAAAGAATAAAGAAAATAACAGCTCAGGAACAGGCCCTTCGGCCCTCCAAGCCTGCGCCGATCCAGATCCTCTATCTAAACCTGTCGCATATTTTCCAAGGATCTGTATCCCTCTGCTCCCTGCCCATTCATGTATCTGTCTAGGTACATCTTAAATGACGCTATCATGCCCGCCTCTACCACCTCCGCTGGCAACGCATTCCAGGCACCCACCACCCTCTGCGTAAAGAACTTTCCACGCATATCTCCCTTAAACTTTTCCCCTCTCACCTTGAAATCATGACCCCCTAGTAATTGAGTCCCCCACTCTGGGAAGAAGCTTCTTGCTATCCACCCTGTCTATACCTCTCATGATTTTGTAGACCTCAATCAGGTCCCCCCTCAACCTCTATCTGTCTGATGTAAATAATCCTAATCTACTCAAGCTCTCTTCATAGCTAGTGCCGTCCATACCAGGCAACATCCTGGTGAACCTCCTCTGCACCATCTCCAAAGCATCCACATCCTTTTGGTAATGTGGCGACCAGAACTGTACGCAGTATTCCAAATGTGGTCAAACCAAAGTCCTATACAACTGCAACATGACCTGCCAACTCTTATACTCAATACCCCGTCCAATGAATGAAAGCATGCCGTATGCCTTCTCGACCACTCTATCGACCTGCGTTGCCACCTTCAGGGTACAATGGACCTGAACACCCAGATCTCTCTGTGCATCAATTGTCCCCAGTGCTTTTCCATTTACCGTATAGTTCGCTTTCGAATTGGATCTTCCAAAATGCATCACCTCCCATTTGCCTGGATTGAACTCCATCTGCCATTTCTCCGTCCAACTCTCCAATCTATCTATATTCTGCTGCATTCTCCGACAGACCCCTTCACTATCTGCTACTCCACCAATCTTAGTGTGATCTGCAAACTTGCTAATCAGACCATCTATACCTTCCTCCAGATCCTTTATGTATTTCACAAATAACAGTGGTCCCAACACGGGTCCCTGTGGAACACCACTGGTCACAGTTCTCCATTTTGACAAACTCCCTTCCACCACAACTCTCCTGTTGCCCAGCCAGTTCTCTATCCATCTAGCTAGTACACCCTGGACCCCATGTAACTTCACTTTCTCCATCAGTCTACCATGGAGAACCTTATCAAACGCCTTACTGAAGTCCAGGTATATGGCATCTACAACCCTTCCCTCATCTATCAACTTTGTCACTGTTGTTCTTGCCTGCTGGCCAGGTTTTCTCCATGGCCGGCTGCTGACTGGAAAGGGAACCACATTGTTAAAATATTGTTAAAATTTGGAGGATAATGGTGTCCTGAGTCGCATCTGCGTCCTCCTTGTAAACATCAACATCAATATGTTTGATGGATATAAACTGAGTAAATTCAACTCATCTTTCACTTTAAACTATTGAAGGGATTACAGATGTTGGACAAACTTACATTACGCTGCTTCTGGAGGATATACTCAGACAATGGAAATATTATTACAAACTAATGTAACACTGCTCGACCGGGTGGATGACAAAGGGGTAAGTATATGTATTCCATGTCAATGCACATGATGGTGATAGGTTATTTGAACAGAAACTGTGCTCTGTTTAAACCAATAGTTCCTTCCATTATTGAAACTGTGTCTTTATATTACAGTTTACATTGAACTGAATCTTCCGCTCATCAAGTTAGGTTCTGGGATTTCCTTTGACACACTTAGACATTGCTTTAATTTAACTAAAATACTCAAACGATACTCAAATGCCCTGAATATTAAATTACAATGGGCAACATTAACAAAGCCCTCAAGATGGAGCAGTAGGATGGTGAAAGTCTCCAGTGTACTCATTGCTGAGTTATTCTGATGATTATTTTAAACAGACAGCTTATTCCTGAAATGACTGCCAGTGTAGTTACTGATGCACATTGACACCAGTTTCAGCACCATTAGTAATACCTGACGGCAAAAAATATACTCAAATATTCTGTAGAGCTAAGCCAAAGTACGAAACATTGTATAATATTGTGGATTCATTAATGCAATATGATATTATCTTGGCCAGTTTTGTCACAAGGTGATTTAACTTGCTTTAATGAACAATAAATCTGTAGGTTTTATTTACCTCAACCTGACCATCATTTGCTGATTTTGAGACTCAGCGGAAAAATAACTCAAGATTTAGGTTTCTAAAGTATACATCATGAACCAAAGGAGTTCTTGTGGCATCGTGACTTAGAAATGTATCAGCATTCCTTCACTGTCGCTGGGGTAAAATTCTTGAAATCCCTCCCTAATAGCATTGTGGGTCTACCCACAGCAGGTGGACTGCAATAGTTCAAGATGGCAGCTCATCACCGCCTTCTCAAGGGCATCTAGGGATGGGGCGATAAATACTGGACCAGCCAACGATGCCCACATCCCACAAATGAATTAAAAAAACAGGTTCCTCTAGCACTGATAGGCCCCAGTTCAAATTTGGGCTCTTCACAAGTGGGTCATAACACATCCTAATAGGTTGATTTTAAAAAAAAATCTAGGAAGGGGCATTGGTGGCAGCATTGTACCCTCAACCACCCATAGCTCAATGCATCAGTACTGTCTCTCCCTATGGGAGTTTTAAAATCCCACTAGGACTTGACAGTCACTGAAGTATTATATAACCTGACCAAACAGGTTGATTAACAATCTTCAAATACCCTGATATGCCTGTGATAGGAGCAGAAGAGCTTGTGGGTCAACCTTAACCATATGGTAACTGCAGTCAACTATCTTCCCATATTAAGAATCTCCACATGCAGGACTTTGCCATGAGCAATTCTGAAGGACTATGACATGCATGTAAAAGCCGTAAGCATTTTATAAACCAAAATGTAGTCATTTTATAAAATGTAGGTTTGTGATTTTCTCATTCTTAGCGAACTGGTTTTCTCTTGTAATTTATTCCAAAGAACACTGCCCTTCATTTGGCTGCTAGAGAAGGACACAGTCATGCAGTATGTCTGCTCCTGGCAAAGGGAGCTGCTATAACACTGAACCATGATGAAGCCTCTTTTTTCCATGAAGCAATTCGCAACAAGAGAAAGGATGCTACTTTAACTATCATTCAAAGTGAAAGGTATGAATGTCATGTTGCTGCTATTAGATGCTTGTGGAGCTCTGATTTTTCTTCTAGAAAAATTTTACTGCTTAAAAAACATAATAAGTAACCATACATTAAAAAAGACCAATGTTAACATAGTCAGCAAACCTTTAACTGTTGGGCGGCCATCTCAGAAAATACTTTGCTCTCTACTTCTTGTAGAAAGCAACAATGCCAAGGCAATACCGTGTTTCTTTATTGGTGAGATCATAATCCACTTCTCCCATTGATCATTGCTTCTTAGAACATTGGAGGGTAGCCATTTTGATTTTATGGTTGAAAAAGTGTTACCCATCACCTTGCTACCCATCCATGTCCTCTTCTAAAAAGCTCGGTACTGGAGGACAGAAATGGAACCTAATCTGTATGCAGTTCATGAACTTTTATTTAGAGAGGCACATGTTGCAAAGGTGCAATTCCTAACTCATCAGCAACTGTTTTGGACTGTGTTTAAATCTGTTCTTAGTCTGAATATAATTAAACATTTGCTTAATAAACAATTAGGATTGTATTATTATGAGGAAGGGTCGCTCGACCCAAAATGTTAACTCTGATTTCTCTCCACAGATGCTGCCAGACCTGCTGAGCTTTGCCAGCGATTTCTGTTTTCGTTTTTGATTTACAGCATCTGCAGTTCTTTTGGTTTTTGTTTCATTTAGGGTTGTATTATATCTGGCCTCCAACTTCCAGATATGCAATGCTGCTTTCCCTCTCATAGAATCACGGAATCCCTACGCTGCAGAAAGAGACCATTTGTCCCCACTGAGTCTACATATCCTTGGACATGCAGCGGCACCCATACAGACACAACGAAAATGTGCAAACTCCACACAGAGAGTTATCTGAGGCTGGAATCAATCTCAGGTCCCTGGTGCTATAAGGCAGCAGAGCTAACTGCTGTGCCACTGTGCTGTCCCCTTCGTGTCCTTCATTAATAGCAGATTTAATAGTCCTCCATCTGAATTAGAAGCCTATCCCTGTTCCTGTCCTGCCATTTTCTGCAAGGTGAGTCAGAGTAATGTGTAATTCTTTGAAGAGTTTTGAAAATGTGTAAAGTAATTTATCAGCATATGAATGCAGAGATAAAGAGGCAAGAGTTTGTCCTTTGGGCCAGGAACCCAATATTAGAGTCAAATGAAATTCACATTATGTTGGGTACAGTTGCTCAGTAGCAACTTTCATGAATTGGCCAATTAGTAGCTGATTCTCTGTCCAGTTAAAGACAGTGGACAGACTGTGAAGTTGGAGGACTGATAGAGGCCCCTGGGTTTGCAAGAAACATCAATCAGCAATTTCAGGTAAGACATCCATTTAGAGACATCCTCCTATTCCAGTCAACCTCAGGCTGTAGGTTTTGACAGCCTTTGAACTACCCTTATAATAAAACAGCTGTGAACGCTGAAGATCTGAAACAGAATCAGAAACTGCTGGAGACTCAGCAGGTCCAGCAGCATCTGTGGGAAGAAGGCAGAGTTAACATTCAAGTCTGGTGAGCCTTCGTCCAAATTGTCAGCAGCGAGGAAAAAGTGGCATTTGTGCTGCAGACAAAGTTGCGGGGTTGGGAGGAAAGACAGAGCGAGAAGGGGAGAGGCGAGCAAACAGGGTGGAGATGGAGTCCAGCAAGAGATCTGCAAGGAGTAGATAAACAAGGAGATAATGGGTATCAGGCCAGGACAGAAGAAAAGCTGAATAAGTGACAATTAGAACTAAATGTAATAGAGAATGAGTTGTTGTTAACACTCCTAGGCCTATTATCACATGATATGCATTGCTTTCAACACAGCTTACCCATTCTACCTACTCTTATAATCATTTACTCAGCTGTTTTGCTGTCCTGGCCTGCTTTCCATAATTTACCTACCCCTTTCATGTCTCTTTCTCTCTGGAGTCCATCTACATGCTGACCTCTTCCCTTCACTCACCATTTCCTCCCCTAAAGGACATTAGTGAACCAGATGGGTTTTTTTTCCAACAATCAACAATGGATTTGTGGTTACCATTAGACTCTTAATTCCAGTTTTTTTAAAGAATTCAAATTCCACTGTCTGCTGTGGCAGGTTTTGAACCTGGGTCCCCAGGACATTACCTGGGTCTCTGGATTAACAGTCCAACAATAATACCCCAGGAACAAAAACAAAGTTGCTGGAAAAGCTCAGCATGTCTGGCAGCATCTGTGAAGGAGGAAAGAGAGTTAACGTTTCGGGTTCGGTGACCCTTGCCTTTGGAAGGGTCACTGGACTCGAAACGTTAACTCTGTTTCCTCCTTCACAGATGCTGCCAGACCTGCTGAGCTTTTCCAGCAACTTTGTTTTTGTTCTTGATCTACAGCATCCTCAGTTCTTTCGGTTTTTAATAATACCCCAGGCCCGTCCCCCCTTTTGCCAGCAATTTCTGGTTTTGTTTCTCGAACTATTCTTATTTGGCTTGTAAGTAGCTCACCCTTCCAAGACTGATCCTGTCATTAAAAACATGGGCTGGGAAGAAGATGGAACCAGAAAAACAAAACTTTGGCCACTACCACATATTCCCACAATCAACTGCCTTTGTGTTTGGCCCCACCTTGGCCTTAAAGTTCTGCAGATGTGGCAAAGAAACAAAAGTAGTTGTGAGAGAAGATTGTGTGAAGATAGAATGGAATTTTCTATTGTGACTGGAAAGGAGAATTGGGAGGAAATGGAAGAATGATTGATAGCACTGAGGCTAAATAAAATTCAGTGAGAAAGTGTTCTAAGTCTTATTTTTCCAGAACTATAAGACACCTATCTCCCTCCAGGTGAGTGAAACAAAGCCACCCTTAGGCTAATTAACACCAAGGTTCAGATAAAACACCAACATTTGACAAAGGGAGGTAATTTTAACATTCTAATCTTTTGAATTTAGATTGGCTGAGGCTACGCAAGTGTTTCTTCATGGCTCTCCCATGCAATGTCCTGTACTGGAGTTAATTGAACATCTTCCAGATGCTTTCAAAGTAAGTTAATTTCTGTAATTTTTTAAAAATGCAATGTTGAAGGATTGCACTGTTTGCATTGACTTTAATAAATACCACCAAGTAATTTTGTTGCTGACAGCTAATTTTCATTGAGAGAGTGTGAATGAGTCCGTTGGGGGAGGTTGAGGTGGCTGGTTGAATGAGTGAATGAATGATTGAATGAACCAGGTATACTTCCCACTTCAGAGATAGTAGGAACTGCACATGCTGGAGAATCTGAGATAACAAGGCTGACGCCTTCTTCATTTTCTGAAGAAGGGTCTAGGCCCGAGGCGTCAGCCTTCCTGCTCCTCTGATGCTGCTTGGCCTGCTGTGTTCATCCAGCTCTACACCTTGTTATCTCATACTTCCCACTTCTCCTCCTTTCTCTGCAAAAAATAGACTTCCATGTGAATTCTGACAGAGCCAGCTTGGAGTTTGTTCCATTAGAGATAAAACAAGGTCAAACTAGGGATGTAGAGAGGGTTTTACATTAAATGGTGGCCGGGACAGAAAGGGTCAAATTTGGGACAGCATGTCGGGTCAAAGAATAGAAACAGGAAAAGAGAAAAAGGTATTAATATGGGAAATAATAAACAAACTATGACAGGAATTGTTCGAAGAGTACAAGTCTCAAAGAAAATCAGCAGATAAGACTAGAGATGATAAAAATTATGAAAGGACAAAACAAAAGGCTCTGTACAGAATAGAATAGAATATCCTTTATTGTCACGTGTAGTCAAGTGCAGGAGTGCAGTGAAAAGTTTTACAAAGTTGCTTCTTATGGTGCCTAGGTACAAATCTTAGATACAAAAGAGGAATATAAAGAAAAGTATTTGCATTACTTTATAGTGTTTAATAAGAATAAGTTAGAAATAGACATAGTTAAAGGATAGACATTACAGTCAGGTTAAAAAAAAATTCAAAAAAATTACATTACAGCGGCTCAGTGCAGAGGCTACCACATATGGTCTGACAGCCCGCACCAGTCCCCACTCCAACAAAGTCCCTGGTCCGCTCCAGACCTCCAGTCCAGTCCGCACTGGTTCTCAGCTGCTCCAAGGTAACTTCCAGGTCTGCGAACCCCACTCCAGCCTCCACCCGGGACTCTCTCCCCCTGCCGGTCACTGCTCTGGGACCAGTGACCGCGACTGCTTCACCACACACCACCCCACCCCCATCACCCCTTGCTCTGGGACTGCATTCCCCCCCCCCCCCCCTTGGCCCCTGCTCTTGGGCTGCGCTACCCCCCCCCCCCCCCCCCCAACATCCGCTGTTCCGGGACTGCATTGCCCCCTCCTGTCAGCTGCAACCCCCCAAAAAATCGGCCACTGCTCCGGGACTGCTTTCTCCACCGACCACTGTTCCAAGTTTCGCCTCCTGGGCTCGCGAGCTCCGCTGTTCCCCTAATGCAGGAAGGGGGAGAAAAAGATGAGAGAGAAAAAAGAAAAAGGAAGGAAAAGAACAGATGGAGCAAAGTAGCTTTGGCTGGAGCATCTTGCCGCAGAATGTATCTGAATCAATCATAGAATAATGTATGTAGATTTTGAAACAAAACAGCACATATAAAGATAAATAAAAAAGCATGACCTGATAGCCACTACAGAGGAATGATTGCAGGATGACATATATTGTGACCAGAATATTGACCAGTACATGTCATTTTGGAAGGACAGGAAGCTAGGAAAAGGTGGAGGTGTGGCCATGTTAATTCATGATGTTATTAACACACAATACAGAAGAATGACCTAAACTCAGGAAAGTAAGATATAGAGCAGTGTGAGTGCAGATGGAAAATGATACAGGCATGGGTGTTTTTCAGGTTGGCAAGGTGTAACGAGAGATGTGCCACAGGGATCAGTGATGGGATCTCAACATTTTACCATTTAAGTAAATGTCTTTGGTGAAGAGACCAAAGGTATGGCTATTGATAACACTCTATCTGTAAAGATAGGTAAAAAAGTAAATTGCAAAGAGGACATAAGGAGGCTACATGAGCTAAAGAGTTAAATGAGTGAGCAAATATCTGACAAATTGTGTATAATATGGAAAAATATGAAATTGTCCATTCTGGCCGGAAAAGTTGAAAAAGCATATCATCTAAACAGTGAGGGATTGATACAAGTGGTAACAGATTGCAGAGCTCTGTGACGCAGAGAAATGTAGGTGTGCAAGTGCATGAATCATAATAGATTAGTGTGCAGGGTCAGCAAGTAACCAGGAAAGAATATTACTTAGTGCAGGGAATTGAATGAAAATGTAGGAAAATTATACTTCTGTTATACAAGGCACAGGTGATACCATTAACTGAAAGCACTGGAGAAACTCAGTGTGAATTCTTCTTCCATTTTGATTACCACTCTTTCTTCCCATGCCCAGTGTCTGTTTACATGGATTTGGTCTCGGCAAAGCTGGCCATTATTCTGTCCTTAACACCGATCATTAACACTTTCTCTTCAGCTGTATCTCTTTGCTACCAGGAATACTCTCGCTGCCTTTTGCTTTGGGTCATCTTTACCACCTATTCCCCTTGTTCCTCATCACCTCCTTAAAAGCATAAAACCCATCACTTTTCCAGCCCCCATCTCTTAGAAAGGAGAGTCATAATGGACTCAAAATGCTAAGTCAGTTTCACTATTCATGGATGCTGTCAGTCTTGTTGAGTTTCTCCAGCACTTTCTGTTTGTATTTCAGATCTCCAGCAATCCTTTGTTTTTATTGTATCATTGAGACGACATCTGGAATACTGAGTACAGCATGGGCCTCCTTATTAAAGGAAGTATGTAAATGAATTGGAAGCAGTTCAAAGACGGTTCACTCGACTAATACTTAAAATGGGCAGGTTGTCTTATGGAGAAAGGTCGAATAGGCCAGCATCATAACAGATGGTGTTCTGAAGAGTGAAAGTGACTCAGTTGAAATATGTAAGATCTGAACAATCTTGACAGGGTACACGTGGAAAGGATATTCCCTCTTCTGGGAGGATCTGGTATTAGAGGTCATCTTTAAAACAAATAGCCTCCCATTTAAGACAAAGACGGGGAGAATTTGTCTCTCTCTGATGGTTCTCTCTCCACAACTTTTCCATGTTGGAAGTAGACCCTTTGTCAATGTTTAAGACTGAGGTAGATTGATTCTTGATGAGTACGTGGGCATGATATTCTCAGGAGTAGGCAGAAAAATAGAGTAATTGGATCAGACATGATCTTACTGAATGGCAGAGCAGGATCAAGGTGGCCCCTCTCCTCCTCCACTGCGTTAGATCTTGGAAAAGGTGGGCCTCATGTTCATGTCTCTACAGATCCAATGCTTATTTCTAAAGGGAGTGAGTAAGAGATTTTTGCCTGTTCTCTAAGCTGAAGTAAATGTTGTGAATGCTGAAACACAACCACTGGGTCCTAATGACGTGTAAGTAATACCAAACCTGGAAAATGGACTGGACTCTCACTAGGACCCACTCACTTCTGGCAGGAGTCTTCCAAGTAGCAGAATGTCCCAAGATTCTTATAAGAACATTGTTAAACAAACTGCACAAAGTAATGACCTGCTAGATTTTACAGTCCTCTCTTTGAAGGAAGGAACTTGTGAAATGCAGAGCATGGCTTTCCCACCACCTTTTTGTTTCCTCCCTAACCCCTCCAACTTGACAGTATCAGGTTTTTAAGTGCCTCGTTATGCTTTACCATTGCTTTACCCAACACATGGGGAGGCCCAGGGCAAACAAGTAGCAAGAAATGGGTAACTCCTTTGTAGGGAGGAGTCCACTGCGTTCATTGGAGGCACTGAATGTTAAGTCATAATACTTCTTTATTCCTGCTTCCAAAATATTGACGCAGTGGGGACAATTAGTCATTAACAATGGGTGATGTATAATAGCAGATTATGTAATAACAAGGCCTGGCATGTCAGGGTTGGGTTAAGGACATGGGAGAAGGTGCCTCAAGCTGTAACATTTTTGAACTTGCTAATGAGTCCAGAACACATTGTTAGCCACTAATTGTCCCCATTAGTAGCTATTCATTCCCCAGGCTGATGGTTATCCACTCCTTTTGCCTGTCTAACTGTTCTTCTCTCTCCTTGGGCTTTATCTCTACCTATCGTTTACTCCTTAATCCATCCCCCCACCCTATCTTTTGCATAAAGCCAACATTTTCCTAGCTACCATCAGTTCTGAAGAAGAGTCACTGGACCCAAAATGTTAACTCTGATTTCTCTCCACAGATGCTGTCAGACCTGCTGAGCTTTTCCAGCAATTTCTGCTTTTGTTTCTGATTTCCAGCATCTGCAGTTCTTTTGGTTTCCAAAATACCAAACCTGGCAACCTGCCTCCCTCAGGTCTTCCTTGAGACCTGCCTGCCAGATTCACATGTAGTCTGATCTCCTTTCAGGGGATGGCTATAGTTGCAGCAGTGGCCAATATTCAACTTTGGCATTGTGGAATGTTAGAGTTTCTGACCAATCTGATAGATTGGCAACTCTTGCCCTGGGCAAATTAAAGTTCCATTGACCATTTTTTTTGTGAGTGGGCTCCCAACCAACCCTTTTTATTTAGTGTCCTAGAAAATCCAGCTCATTATCTTAGGTGACCAAAGCCTCATCAAAACATTAGGGTCTGAATAAAACCTTCAAGGGGGAGAGATATAACCTTGGATGGAGGAAATTCCAGTTTAAGACTGAAGTGACTGAAGGTACAACTCCCAATAAAATCTTTGGAAATAGAGAATGCGTAAGAGGCCAGAATAAAGCATATTCTATTCTCGAATTCGAAGACCACTACAATCACATAGGGTTGTCGGACTGCAGGAAGTGATAAAGATGGGAAGGACTTAGGCCACTGTCGGATTTGACGGCAAGTTCATGAATTTTAAACTTGAACATTAATGGCCAGGAATCAAAGAATGGCATGAATTGACTTTGTAATGGAAAATGTGTTATTATCCTTACTGTGTTGGGATATGTTCTGTGTTTCTGTTACTTTACAGCCATTATGGAAAAAAATCTATTCTATAATGTTTAAAAAATCAAATTAATTCATTTCACATAAATCAGGTTCAAGGCGGTTTTAGGAATCATCCATAACAGTGTTTTTGCTATCTAATAGAGATATAAACATTTGCAAATAGATTAAATGTAAATTGATAATAAGCCTAATTTCTGCTTTTGCGACATTGACACAATTGACTTCATCAGAGATATTCACATTCTAGCTATGCCCTTCGTTCCTATCTTTCTCAGCATCAATCATGCCTAAGATTTCTGCTCTATTATCCCACCCAATTGCATCCCTTTTCCAATATCATTCTTGTATACAATTCAATATTTTAATTGCTTTTGTCTATAAACTATGATGTGGAGGTACTGGTATTGGACAGGGGTGGACAAGGTCAGAAGTCACAAGACACCAGATTATAGACTTTGCCTGACGAAGGAGCAGTGCTTTGAAAGCTTGAGATATCAAATAAACTTGTTGGACTATAACCTGGTGTCATGTGATGTTTGACCTCATTTATGAACTAATTACAGTAATCTTTCTGACAGGTTTAGTTACTCATGTGTAATAATTATATGCTGCTACCTTGAAATTATTACACTTATATTTAGAAGTTTTTTGCATTTATTTTAAGGTCCTTTTGGACAGATGTATGACAGAATCATCAGAAGACAGGAAAAGTATAAACTTCTCAGTAAGTGTGTTCTTACCTGAATTTGTAATAGCTATTGTTTTATATTAATGAAATGCATCTAACTCCATATTATTTGTTGTGCAGATTGAATACGATTTCAGATATTTACAATGTCCACTCACACTTAAAAAACTCGCAAAGAAGGAAGAAAATGTTCAATATGCACCCCTAACAGCTTTAAATGTGAGTACGCAATGACATTTTTGTATAACTTGTTAAGAATAATATCCAGTGAAAGAAAGCTCCCTGAGTAAGGGTCACTGGACTGAAAATGTTAACTGTGATTTCTCTCCACAGATGCTGCCAGACCTGCTGAGTTTCTCCAGCAATTACTGATTTTGTTTCAGATTTCCAGCATCCGCAGTTCTTTGTTTTGTATCAGCGTACTAGAATTGTCAAATTAGATTGCAGAAAGCTGTGTTAAGAGATTTTACAAAGAGATACTTTACAAATTGGAATCTTGCGGAGATGCTACATTGGATCGTGAGTTGTTACTCATGAATCTGCTTGTGAACTGGGGTTGCTAATTGCACCTCATAAATGTCTATCAAATAACTGTATGTGATTGTTTCAATAGATGCAATTTCTATGAGCAGGAAACTATGTCAGTCATTGCAACTTGGTTGTGGTTCTAAAATTTACAGATGTAGACAGGAGGACTCTTGTGTAGTAGTGGTAGTGTCCCTACCTCTGGGCCAGTAGGCCTGGGTTCAAATATCACCTGCTTCAGAGGCGTGTCTCTGTAGAGATTGATTAAAAATACAAGGATAAATAATGGTGCATGGTGTGGTTCACATTGAGTTACATTGAAAACAGAGTGTAACAGAGAGAGTTTAGTGCAAATGGGAATTTGGTATGGAGGGGAAAGAAGGTGCTGCTCCTTCCCACTAATACGTGTTGTGGTCATGTAAGTTTGTTGTCCAGTGTTTAAGATCATAGCATCCTTAAAGTGTGGAAGCTGACCTTTTGGCCTGCTGAGTCCACACCAACTCTCTGAAGAGCATCCCATGCCCCTATCCTATCCCTGCTATTCTGCATATCAAATGGCTAACTCACCCAGCCTACACATCCCTGGACACTACGGACAATTTAGCATGGCCGATCCACCTAACCATGGATTATGGGAGGAAACCCACGCTGACACGGAGGGAATGTGCAAACTCCACACAGGCAGTTGCCTGAGGCTAGAACTGAACCTGGGTCCTGCTGCTGTGAGGCAGCAACGCTAACCACTGAGCCACCGCGTCACCAAAATGAGGTTGGGAAGATGGAGAGGGGACTGTTTTCAGGTCCTGAAACAACCTGTGGTTGGAACTTGATTAAAGTTAAACTTTTCATGTACTAAGCATGAGATATGTTTCCTGTCCAATTAAGGTTGGCAGGTGGACATTAGCACTTCTGCTTCAAATCAAAGGAGTTCAAGCTTCAGAAAAGGACTCCGCTGCTGTACAAGGTGAGTAACTGGGTAGATATGTCACCATGCAAGGGTTCTCTTAGCCTCTTTGTGAAAATATCAATTTAAAAAAAAACACCAAGAAGCCAGGCTGCCATTGGATGGTGAGGAGTTCCTCTGCACAGCATTCACTTTGTTGTATCCTCTCCATCCAGACAAACAGGCAGGTCCTGTGGCCAACCAGGAATGCTGCCATCCCAGCCTGGCATGGATCCCCCACCAGAAGGCAGTTTGACCTTATCTCCCCACTGCACTGGGAAATTGAAGCCCTACTGGAAATCAGCCTCTCAAATCCTGCACAACAACACTCTAATTGAGACTAATTGCCTGTCTGCCTTGTGGACATGAATGGATTTCCTGGGCCTCAAATGCAGACAATAAATTTAAGAAGCCAACACACCCAGCTTGGCTTGTAACTTTTAGTCCCCACCTGCCTCCCTTTCCTGGTATTGACAGGGTCTCAAAACTCCACCCCTGATTTTTCAACCCCACTTCTCAATTTCATTGCCTCAGCTGAAACAATCCAGTCATAACGCTAGACTAGAAATGGCCAACCAGTGCAGTTGGTCCAAGAAAATATACAGATAGCATCTTATCTGGAGGTTATGATGCAAGATTTCCAATTTTTTTAACATTGTATTGTCATTGAAAAGTGACTGTGTACACTAACTAATTATAACCGTCACGTCTGCAATGGTGCAGAGTTCAAGAATAGCATTGTAGGTTTTTCTTATGGGTCACCAATATAAACCTTTATTTCTTGCACAGCAAAGAATACATGAATCAGAGAAGATAATTGCATTATTTCAACTTCCAATTTTATACACATTAATTATTTAAAGTAATTTTGGTAATCAATGTCTATTAGTTTTTAAAATTGATTCTGTTGTGATATTTCTTGTTGTATGTTTTAGGCTATGATACGTTTCAATCGAGCCGAGCTTCTGAATCATCCAGTTTGTACGCAGTTTCTTAAAATGAAATGGTATGCAGAGTGTTGAATTAAGAACAGCTTATCAACATGTCCTGGTATAATTCCTGAGCATGTAATCATGTGTGGTTTTTAACTGAAGCTTAAAACTCTTCAAACATTCTGACCTTGAACTTAAGACAATCCCAATTCTATAGGTCATCATACATTATAATGGCATGTAAGTCTTTCATTATGGATGAGGTATTGCCTTGTTGGCAGCCCTGATTTTTACTGCTGGCTGATAGTGAATCAGTGCTAAAAATGGTCCAAGCCTTGAATCTACATGGGATGGATTAGAGAAGCTAAAAAGGATATTATTAAACTGGAGAGGGTTTAGAAGAGATTTACCAGGATGTTGCCGCGTACGAAAGGTTCGAGTTATAAACAAAGGCTGGATAGGCTGGGGCTTTTTTTGCTGGAGTGTAGAAAGTTGAGAGGCAACCTTATAGAAGTCTATAAAATAATGAGGGGTATCGATAGAATTAATGGTAGTTGTCTTTTCCCCAGAATGGGGGATTTCAAGACTAGGGGGCACATTTTTAAGGTGAGAGGAGAAAATTTAAAAAAAAACTTGGGGCAAATTTTTTACACAAGGGTGGTTTGCATGTGGAATGAACTTCCTGAGGAATGTGTTCAATGTGGATACAATTATAACATTTAAAAGACATTTGGATAAGTACATGAATAGGAAAGATTTGGAGGGATATGGGCCAGGAGCAGACAGGTAGGACTAATTAGTTTAGGATTATGTTCAGCATGGACTGGTTGTACCAAAGGATCTGGACATGGGAACTCTTTACTCAAATATCACCAATGTATAAACTCACATGTAAGATACTCCACAAAAGGTATAATAGTTGAATTCTAATATGACAGAATTGGATACAGAAGGACAAAGTGATAACAAAATGTTCTAGACAGTGAAATAATTTTAAAGTCTCATCATTGTTGTCATGCAGGAAAGCTGGTAGCTAATTTTCAATAAGATTCCATATGAAAAATGGGATAAGTCACCAGATAACCTAATTTAATGATTTTGGCTGAAGGTTAAATATTATCCAGAGCACTGCAATAAGTCCCTTCTTAAAACACATCATGGAATCTTTTATATTCATCTAAAAGGGCAGAAAGAACTTCAGGGCAACTACATCCAAAAGATGGTACTTCTGACAACACAGCACATCCTCAGCATTGTGGCCTAGATATTAAGTCTCTGGAATGACTTGAACCTGTATCTTTTGACTAAAAATGAAACTTACCACTGAGCAACAATTGACCATTTGTACGAGCCTTTTATTATGGTGTAGCTAAAGCTGTGCACAACCTCTTAGTTTTGTATAGATTTATCTTTCCTTACTGCTGAACTCTAGTTTTCCATATATCCTTTCCCCTTTCCCATTCTGACAGAAATGGAATCTGTTGGAAATGGGGATGGATCCTGGTCTCATCTGCCACTTTTAAACGTCTCTGAATTCTCCGTTATTCTTCCATTCTATCTCCTTGTGGAAGTCTGGTACAAAACAGAAAGAAAAACAGGGTTTGGATTTAGAGAAAAAGAAAAGATTCAGCAGGAAAGAAAACAAACTGTAAATTTAATGATTTTACAATCTCTATAAATATTGATCACTTGAAGGAACCAAAGTCCAGGGTTTAAATTCCTCTAGTTCTGGGCCAGAGGGATTGATTATCATCGCATTCACAAAGTTAAAAGATGCTTACTCCAATAATTGTCTATGTAGCTTTCTCTGATAATTTTATTTGGCAAATAATCAGAAAGCCAGGAGTGAATGGCAGTATGAATGGTGCAGTGGCATCAACTCAATTTTGGAAATTTGCAAATCGTGGTACCTCCCAGTCTTCTGAACGTAATTAGTAATAACAACATGTTTCTGGATCTTCCAAGGAGCGGCAGTCATTATCAATTGCCACTCTGGTTGAACATTTTTCTGAGTTGACACTGCTTCACATTTCTCATTGACTGAAGCTTTCTGAGCCTTGCTACAAAATGAACTACAAATATAACTTAATTTCTCATGCATGTACATAAATGCGTTATCTAGTAATCTCCTTCAAGTGTATAAATATGGGAAGAAAAGGGTAATTTTCAATTTAGTGGTTAGTTTTGATATTTAGAAAGGACTAATGTATTTAACTTTGTTTCTTGGTAGGCAAGCGTATGGACTTAGGGCACACATTATAAATATGGCTCTCTTTTCACTGTTACTCATACCATTGACGTTCCTCATTATTGTGTCACGACCATATGCCTTTGACAAAGAACGACCAATCATTTCCAACTTTACTCAAGGAATGACAGGGCCCTGGATGGAATATCAGGTCTGTTCATGGCATAGCCATTTTTTTTATGAAAGATGGGGATTGTTAATTTAGAATTTAATTTTGCCCAGGTGCTGATAAACCAGGAATATTAATGAAGGCATGCATATCTTGTAAAGTTTATTCTGCAATGTGTTGACTTCTTCTTTTGATTCAGCAAGACCTCCTAATATATATCTTTAAATCTGGTTGCTTTACATTGGCTTTCTGAATCCTGACCATTATGTCAATTAGAATGATTTGTGATCACAGCTGGAGGCTACTGATACAAACCTTCCTCCCGTTCTGACACTTTTCAGATAAGTAGCTGCTGTGATAGGTTATTATTGTATGAATAAATCTCAGATTTATTTCTAATAACCATTTGTTTTGACACCAATTTCAGCCTTTGTGTATTATATCACTGTTTCTGATTGTATGCACAACTATTTTCTGAGAACATTCCTCAGAGTTCTTTGATTTCTTGTTCATAGTTATTAACACATTACTAATTTCCTCCTTTCAGCATTTTATGATAAATACCATTTGACCAGATAATCTAATCTTTGTTTTAGAAAAAAAATATTGTTCAATTACTACCCTTCATTCTGAAGACAACTTTTAACGTTGGTACGTGCAGGTGACTGCTGAGATCAGATTTAATCCCCACCCTGCCCTCCAACTCTATAACATAAGGAAAATTAGATGGGGTATGTTATGAGAAGCTGATTCATACAATCTCTGCAGTGCATTAAGTGATAATTTGGCCATTGAGTCTACACCAACCCTCTAAAGAGCATCCTATCCTTTCCCCATTACCCCACATTCCCCTTGGCTAATCTACCTAGTCTGCACATCCCTGGACACTACAGATAATTTAGTATAGCCAATCTACTTCCTTCTCTTCATACCCTTCCACATTATTCCTATCCAAAATAATCATCCAATACCCTCTTGAATGCCTCAATTGAACCTGCCTCCACCACATTGTCAGGCAGTGCATCCCACACTTTAACTATTCGCTGTGTGAAAATGTTTCATTCTCATATCACTTGCCCTTCATCTGCACATCACTTTAAATCTACACTGTCTTGTTCTTGTTCCTTTTATGAGCAGGAAGTCTTTCTCCCTTTCTACTCAATCCAGCCAACACATGACTTTGAATAGACAGTCACAAAATATCTGTTTGGATTTTCAGCCATCCTCTCCTTCACTAGTATAAATTCTTCTGTCTCTGCCTTTCTATGGAACCAGTTTGTCTTGCTAATCTTTTTTCTGTTTGCATACCCATAGAAGCCTAACAGTCCATTTTTATGTTTCTCACTCGTTCATTTTCACTTTCTATTTTCTCTTTTTTTATCAGCTTCTTGGTCCTCTTTAGCTGAATTCAGCATGGAGAAATCTGATTCCAATTTGGCAGAGGACGTAGAGCTACCCCTCTCCAATTTGGCATTGGCGGCAGGTTCACTAGGCTGATATCAGGAATGGAGGGATTGTCTTATGAGGAAAGGTTTAGTAGGTTGGGCCTTTACTCAGTGGGATTTAGAAGGCTGAGAGGTGATCTTATTGAAACACATAGGTTTCTTGGGGGACATAAGAGTGTAGATGCAGAAAGGATGTTTCCCCTTATGGGAGGGTCTAGGAGACAAGAGCATCATCTCAGAATAAGGGGTCACACATTTAAGACAGAGAGGTAGCAGAACGTAATCTTTCAGTGGGTACTGAATCTGCGGAATTCTTTATCACAGAGGACTATCAGGCTGACATAGACATAAATGGGATCAAGAGTGATGGGAAAAAGGCAGGAAAGTGGAATTGAGGATTATTAGATCAGCCATGGAGAAATTGAATGACAGAGCAGACTTGATGGTATGAATGGCCTACTCCTGCTCCTGCAACTTATTTTCTTATGGTTTTCATTGTCGTGTTGCACAGTCAGAGGCATTGTGGCCCATACCTGCTGCAGCCTTTATGGAGACAGATCACTAACTCCTCTGCCTTCCCTGTGAGGATATGGAAATATTCTTGACCAAATACAACAAATCAAAACAACAGCTCCAAAAACACTCCATAGTACTTCCAGAAATGTTTCAATTGTAGAAATCATTGCAAATCACCTGATTTGCAGGTGAAGTGCCTGACAGCTGCTGGCACAGAGATAGGAGGAATGCACTGTCTCTCTCCAGTTTCAATATGCCACAGATATCAGTGTTTTACTCACTTCCTGAAGTGGCCAGCCATCTGCTTTCCCTGTATTAGATTTCGAATAAAATTATTCTTCAACCAAGTTTCTTTAAAACAATGTTATTGATTTATTGTGAAAGAAAAATTAATCAATGAAGATGTAAAACTGGGTAAGATACACATGTTGTAATAGGAGAATATAAGTATTTACTCCTTTAAGTAGGTCAACATGCACACACACACAGACACGCATACAGGTATATGTGCATGAACACATGCACTCTCACCTCCGTGAATCTATACACACACACACACACACACACACACACACACACACACATATTCATACAGACACCCACACACATATTCATACAGACACTCCACACACATATTCATACAGACACTCCACACATATATTCATATAGACACTCACGCACATTCATATAGACACACACATTCGTAGAGACACTCACGCACATATTCATACAGACACTCACACTCACATTCATGTGGACAAGCACACATATTCAAACAGACATTCATGCTCACACACACACAGAGTATCAAAATGTTTTCTAGATGTTCCTCAATATGACAATCAGGGTTCACACCGGATTCACAACAAGAATGTTCCAGAAACAGCAGAAATCTGAGCTGGGCAGCTTTTCCTCAGCTGATGTTTCCCCAACTGACATCCAAATTATTATCCAAACAAGACCTACTCTCTTTCATGCATAAACTCAGTCATGCAGTTTTCAGAAGTAAATAAAATATTCCAATCTGTCCTTTCATTGACCTTTTAGAAAAAAAATCCAGGAATCTAGAAACATAGAAGATAGGAGCAAGAGGAGGCCATTCCACCCCTCAAGCCTGTTCTGCCATTCAATATGATCATGGCTGATCATCGAGGCTAACACCCTAATCCCACCCTCCTCCCATATCCCTTGATTCCTTTAGCCAGATCAGATATGTCTACCTCCTCAAAAACAGTGTTTTGGTCTCAACCATCTTCTGTGACATTGAATTCCACAGGCTCATCACTGTCAGCGAAGAAATTTCTCTACATCTCAGTCTTAAGAAGTTTACCCCTTATCCTTAAGCTATGACTCTGGTTCTAGACTCCCCCACAATCAGGAACATACTTCTTGCAACTAACCTGTCTAGTCCTGTTAGAATTTTGCAGGTTTCTATGAGATAGCCGCCCTTCACTCTTCCAAATTCCTGAATGCAATCCTAACCAACTCAATCTGTCCTCTTATGTCAGTCCTGCCATCCCAGGAATGAATTTGGTAAATCTTGGTTGCATTGCCTCCCTAACAAGAATATTCTTCTTCAGATAAGGAAAATATTAAATACCATACTTTCCTAACAGCCATCTTATAGGTGTATTTTGAGAGACAGGTGAAAACATTAAGTGGTCCAAGTTTGAAATTTGGATGAAGTCAGTCTGTCTGGCTGTTTCACATCCTGATCTGCCAGCTGCGAAGCTATACCACATCGACATGACACACTGTGTCAGAAGTGAATGTGTCTCAATTGGGGGTTGGGGGCTTTTGTGTTGTTCCAAATGATGCACACTCAATCTTTGAAAAAGTGGGGTAAGATCCAGAGACATTGAATGTTTAGTCTAAAATTTCTGAAAGCTTTCTCCCACCAATAAAATGAAGATGGATGAATCATTTATCTACTTGTCAGCCCTGGCCTGAAAGACTCCAAACCCAGGAAAAGGAGTATAAGTCAAATAGGGGCATGAGTGAAGTGTCTGCGCCACTGTTGTTGTGAGATTTCAAAGGAAAAGTTTGCTGTGGGTGAAACCCAAGAGTTCTTGGGCTGTTTTGATCTAAGACTATAGTTCTATTCTTCCAGTACCTTACTCCTGATGGCAGCTACAATCCTTCATATCAGCCAATTAACCCAACAGAAAACTCCAGCCCAAATTCCTTCACTTCCTTTCAACATATGACAGTTTCTTAAACCAAATGTGATGGAGTTTCGAAATCTTTATTTCTAAGTACTTTAGATGTCATTCCTACAGGTGTCACTTGGAATACTAACATGATATTGAATAGTTGACTCATTTCAACTTGTTTCTTCCACAGGAATCACTATTGTATAAACTGTGCACAAGAACTGTATTTGTGATGAGCATTCTTGGTGTGTGTAAGGAAATTTATCAATTGCTGCAACAGGTAAGATACATATAAGATAATATTGGAGCCCAGTTCTCTTCTTGGAACTAACCTTCAATTTTTAACAATAAACTTATTCTGTCATTGAATGCCTTCTCAGGAATCATGCATTGCTGGTGAAAATGCTTATTAAAGGAAAGTAGCATATTTCCTATGTTTTAGCTCACAATGTATCATCATGTGACTGAATCTTAACAGCAGAAATAAACAAACCTCAAGGTTATTTTAACCTTGAAGATTCTCGGAAAACAGTAAGAAATTAATGATTTGCTTTCTTTAACTTGTCTCATTTTTAAAACGTAACACAGAATTTATTTTGTGTGCTGATTTCGGGAAATCATTGCTTGGCTTGAAAAGAAAGCCTATGATTAGGGATAACACAGAAGCAATACTTGGAATGTTACATTTCAATAAAAGATACAGAACATGCCCAATGGTGACCATGGAACAATTGGCGATTGTCGAAAAAACATCATCAGCTTCACTAATGTCCTTTTGGGATAGAGATCTGTGCCAGGACTGACCTCCTAACTCCAGACCTACAGCAATATAGTTGACTCTTAACTCCCCTACGAAATGACCTAGGGAGCAATTAAGCTGTATCAAATACTACTGGGTCTAAAAGTAGGAAATAAACAAGGTATAATGCACTGCAATTGACGAAGGCACTGGAAATGACAATGGCAAAATCAGCCCTGTTGGCCCTGCAGAGTGCCCCTTACGGCATCTGGGTCTAGCACCAACATTGGGAGAGCTGTCTCACAGATTAGTTACGCAGCCACCTGACACAGTCGTGCTCACAGAATCATACCTTATGTCCCAGGATCTACCATCACCGTCCCTCAGTATGTCTTGTCCTACTGGAAGGACAATTGTGCCAGAGATGGGGTGCAGCTTTGAGACAGTTGACCCCAAAGAAATCTCATGGCATCAGATCAAGCATTGACAAGGAAATCTTCCATTGATACCAGCTACTGCATATCTTGGGGCTGATGAATCTATATTGAAAAGAAATATAGATTCTTCTGTATTGAACACCACTTAGGACCATAGATCATAGAATCCATATGATGTGCAAGCAGGCTAATTGGCCCATTGAGTCCACACTGACCCTCCAAAGAGTACCGCAACCAGCTCCAGACCCCACTACCCCATCCTCATAATCGCTTATTAACCATGGTTAACACATTTACATCCCTGGACACTATGGGCAATTTAGCATGGCCAATCCACATAACCTGCACATCTTTGGAAACAAGAGAACCCAAAGGAAACCCACACAGACGCGAGGAGAAGATGCAACCTCCAAACAGACAGTCACCCAAGGGTGGAATTGAACCCAGCTCACTGGCACTGTGAGGTAGCAGTGCTAACCACTGAGCCACCGTGCCGCCCACTTGAAGGAAGCACGAAGTGTGAGGTACTCACTCCACAAATAGTACACACTGTAGCTACAAGATGCACCACAGCAACAGGCCAAGCTTCCTTAACAGCACCTTCCAAACCTGCCAACTCCGGTGCCTGGAGCAACAGAAAAAATGGGTGAAAAGGAACACTTCCATCTGCAAGATTTCATCCAAATCACATACCAACCTGCCTAGGAACTATTATGGTTTTTCCATGGAACTCTCCCACACTAACAGCAATGTGAACATTATTGCCACAAATATTGCAACTGTTCAAGAAATGACCTACTTCTCAAGGGCAAATAGAATTGGGGAATAAATGTTAGCCTTGCCAGTGACACCCACATCCCATTTATGAATATAAGATGAGGTAATAAAGTAAAATAGATTATTCCTTCCAAATGGTTTCATCTCAAATCAGGCGGGGCAGAACTACCTTCAGGGTTTGGCCTGCTTTATCAGGGGTGGATCACCATGCCAATCTTGTTGTAACCTACACTTCCTCTTCAAGTTCCCCCCGTCTGAAGATAATACTAATTATTCTACATTTTATACGTAAACTGAAGAGTTTGAGTTACAGCCTTTAGTTTTTGCTTCTACATATATACAAGTTGGTGAAAAAATGTTTGAAATTATTTCGTGAGATTTTGTGAAATTCAGTAAAGAAATGCAAAAAACAGTAGGGTAGTGCAGTATAAGGATGATCCTGAAAGTTTTAAAAGATTGATTTTCACTCACTACTGGTGAGAAATTCTACAAAACAGATCAAAGAATGGAAACAACACACCTAAGGAAAATAACAGCGCAGCTAGTAAAGATGTACTGACACATCATGAGCGTCTGGTGTTTGGTGAGGGAGAATTTCCAGGTAGTATTGGGGTGGATGTAGGGTGAGGTCCTTTGATGTTCTGAGGGATTAATTAAGGAAGGACACCCCTGGGACATCAAGCTGTACCGAACAGTACAATAATAGGCAGCAATGCCTCAGGTTGAATTAGTTAAATAACAAAACAATGTTCTTACTGTTCCTCTGCTGCTATGCTAACTTTCTTTTCTTTGTCTGAATCAACAGCGACTGCAATACTTTCTTGATTCAACCAATCTCCTAGACTGGAGTATGTATGTGGCATCCATTTTTTTTGTAATTCCCTGGATTTTTGATGTCAAAACTTCAATACAATGGGAGTGTGGTTCTATTAGTGCATTTGCAACATGGGTGAACTTCCTATTATACTTGCAAAGGTGTAGTTATTTTACATTTTTAATAATGTTTTAGTTAGTGATATTTTATTCCTGGTTCTTAACAGGATGTAACAGAAGGAACTATAATCCACTTTTAAAGAAGCACTTACTGTGTGTTCAGAAATCCTTGACTTCCTGGTACATTTGAGAACTGCTGGATGTTTAGCTATACAGTGCTGATTTTGAGAGTGTGCATTCTTGATAGAGGGTACTGAGGCTAGCAATCAGCAAAGAAAAATTGGCTACATTGCCGTCATTTCATGGCCAATTTGAGGTGGAATTTTCATCCCTTAGGGACATGGAGATCTGCCTCAGAGCAATGCCAGTTAATTAGAGGCTGGTAGCTCTCTCTTGGCACTGTTAGCACCAGCAAGAGCAGTGGCCAGTGGCTATCAGTACAGCACTCAGCCATTGAAGAGAGAAGTTGCAATCAATCAAACAATATTTGGTGAAGGAGTGTTAACTGGGAGACCTAGGGTAGATGTAACAGCCCGTGTTGAGGTCCTTTAATGGTCCAAGGGATCAGTTACGGAGAGGTACCAGTTTATTCCTGAGTATTAGTTGACACTTTTAAGTGGGCAATATTGGCCTATTTAGAGGTCTCATTTGGTCCACCGCTGGTCAGGCCTCCTGATGCCCACCTATCATTGGTAAATTTGTGATTGGAGGAAAGCATGGGCAAGTAGCAGGGCATTGATTACATTTAACAAGCCCTTCCAGCACCTTCAAACCACCAGTGGAGGAGCATTGTGCACAGTCCAGCAAGTTGCCTATTCCCCAAAAAGTTTGCAACTATCATCAATTGTTGTAAAATCCTATCTGGTTCACCAGTGACCTTGGTATAAGTTTTAATGGTTGTACTTGTGTCTATCCTTCAGGTTCGACATTTGTGGAATCTATGTTGTAATGTTTGGAGAGATTTTGAACACCTTGTTTCATATTATGGCTCTGTTTCTCTTCCTTATCTTGGCATTTGGATTTACCTTCTACATTTTGTTATATGAGCAGGTGAGTGTGGTGACTGTTAGGTGTCCATAACAAGTATAAAATAAATATAGGCAGTAATGGGTATTTCTACTATAACTCGACCTCGCACTATAGGAAATTGCGGCTGTAGAATATTGCCATAGAAAATGGCATTAGAGAGAAGTCGTTATAAAAAATCACTAAACTGTACAGTAGAAAGTTTGCGTTATCCAAAAAGCGTTCACTATCCATCAATCGTGTTACAGCCAATTTGCATGAATGAAACACGCATTATAGCAGTAATACCTGAATTTTATTCTCCTGAGCAGTAGTGGGCAGGATCTCACCTACAGATAAATGAATGTAACTGCCCCAGCAGGATATTTTGTCATCAAGTAAGCTTCCTCTGCCTTCTTATTATTTGATTCAGCCTACATAGGTGTAGATTGAGAGATTATTTCGAGTATTCTCTGAGTCACGACCTGCTATTTTAGATATGATTTTACTTCTTCACCATTCTTTTCAAGAACGTTTAAAATATTTTCCATGCTGTAAAACAATGCATGAATCTTGCAAAGAAAATGTAACACAAGTTCTTTTTTCTTCCTATGTTACAAATGACTCCATTTATGATATTTAATGGTAACTTTCATGCATTGAGTAGCAGAGTGTATTGTACAGTTTTACAGCGGGGAAGAGATAGATCCCTTTGTTAAACCATGCAGATCTCCTTATTTCATATCTCTTCTCATGGAGTCCCCTCAGTTACCTTTATGTCTGTATTTGTAGCGGGTGGCATGGTGACTCAGTGGTTAGCTCTGCTGCCTGACAGTGCCAGGGACCTGGGTTTGATTCCACACACAGGCAACTGTGTGAAGTTTGCACATCCTCCCCGTGTCTGCGTGGGTTTCCTCTAGGTGTTCTAGTTTCCTCCCACAGTCCAAAGATGCACAGATTAGGTGAATTGGCCATGCTAAATTGGCCATCACGTCCAGGGATGTGCAGGCTAGGAGGGTTAGCCATGGGAAATGCTGGGTTACAGGGATACAGTAGGTCTGGGTGGGATGCTCTTTGGAGGGTTGGTGTGGACTCAATGGAGTGAATGGCCTACTTCCACACTGTAGGGATTCTACAGAGCTGTATTCATACACTTATTTTCCTTTTGTAGCAGTCATTTCTGGAATAAGATGGAATCTATATTTTTCTCAAATAAGTGAGGTTAAGATTAATTGAATGTTTTGGAACACTATTTTCTTTAAGGGAGATGAGAAGCTCCAGTTTGATCTTAGCTCAACACTCTAATTGTTGTTGAAACTAGAGCAGTGCATTACATTGCCAAGTAGTTGAGAACAGAAATACAGATACCCAAAATTAAGTTTTCTTCCCATTTACTTTCAAATATAAATGGGTCCTCTCATAATTTGCACAGTATATATGATGGCCTCTGATATACAAAGATTTTTGGACATGGTACTGTCTTCCTAAATATAATTAGCATCCATTAGCAATTGCTATAAACTTTATTTTCTTATCCATCAATGAAAATTTGAGAATACAAGCATTTACTTTGAGAAACATTGCCCAAAATTTTATCAGTTGCTAAACTGTGGTTTGCATCAATTCCTTCTGTAAGTGTTAAATCATCATCAGAAAATAGGTGTACAGGTATTTCTAGATGAGCCTATGTATACATACAATTTAATTTTAATTAGGTCCTTACCTACATGGCTTAGGCACAAAAAAAAACATAATAGTCTGTACCTCATTTTAGATAGATGTGAAGAAAATGCACCATCCAAACCAGGAATATGGCCATATCTGTTTAGAGTTGATGAACAAAATATTGTAATATTCTGTCTTCTCCTTTCAGAAGGCATATGGAAGTCCTATTCTTTCCCAATTGAAGATACTTGCAATGATGTTGGGAGATATTAACTACAATGACAACTTCCTGATTCCATATAGTACAGATAAGATGCAGTTCCCGCTTCTCACCTTTGGAATGTTAATTATGTTTTTGTTGCTTATACCAATCCTCCTCATGAATTTACTGGTAAGTTTTATGTGTAAATGTGCTGGCTAAAAAATGGTGATTGAAACAGGGGCTATGTGATGTGGTCAACGTACATTTGAGCTGCTGCTCAGAGATGGAATTGGGAATTACACAAATCTTCATTATCAGAGATAGTAGGAACTGCCGATGCTGGAGAATCTGAGATAACAAGGTGTAGAGCTGGATGAACACAGCAGGCCAAGCAGCATCAGAGGAGCAGGAAAGCTGACGTTTTGGGTCTGGATCCTTCTTCAAAAATGGGGGAGGGGAATTTCTGAAGAAGGGTCCAGACCCGAAACGTCAGCTTTCCTGCTCCTCTGATGCTGCTTGGCCTACTGTGTTCATCCAACTCTACACCTTGTTATCTCAATCTTCATTATCATCTGTTTTCTGTCCAGAATCCAAAGTTGTAAAACCACCCCGCCTCAAGATGGTACCACTTGTGTTCCCAGCACTGTCAGTCTGCAAATACCCCTGCTAATGCCCAACATGTCCTCTGTCATGCTGAGGAGGTGAATTCCAAAGACTGGACACCAAGGCTGATGCTACTTAAAGGTGTTATACAGGGTCATCTTCAGTAGCTTGCACCTAAAGGCAGTAATCTTCTATACCATGTAGCTACCACTGTGCTATAACCCACCAACTCCTACAACCATCCTGATAACTAGAAGTGGTGAGCGGAGATGCAATTTTTTTGTCACTGCGACATACAGTATTTTCCAGTCTTCTAGTCTGGACTTTTGATTACAGTTGCAGCAGGGACAAATCACCACAGCCTTTTCAGAGAGGGAACAGTCAGTGCAGGAGGGTTGAGTGATGAAGAGGAGATGCGTAGAGCGCACAGCTCCTTTTTACACCATTAGCTGGTATATTCGGATTGGTTCTTAAAGCCTTTCAATGGATTATTGGCTGGAGTGGATAGCTGGATGGAGGAGTAGGAAGGTGAGTCAATAGGATAGAAGAAGGAAGTCAGATCAGGGTTAAGGGCAGTCAGGTTGGGAGAGGTGTGATTTTTGGCCATGGGTTGGGGAATTAAACTATAAGTCATTGAATTACACCAGATATTAAACATTTGTAATGTTTCCAAGATTTCTAGGGCAAGTATACAGGAATGCATCTCTCTAGCCCAAGTCTCCAGCCTTGAGCTCAGTGTGAGAGATATCTGCACAGTGTCTCGGATAGTGCAAATCAGCTTATTGGAAATTTAAACTAGCCAGGCATTTACTTCCACAGGATCCTGAGGCTCATCACAGACTTAAATTCAAACTTAAGTTAGATTTCCCCACTCTGGATCACAGGACGATTCTGGCTTATACAATCAGCAAAAGAACGTTTAAAGAATTTCACCTCAAAGTTTTATTGATCTTTTTAAAATAGTACTGGTGGGAGTGGGGTCTGCCATATAGGTGATACAGATTGAGCCGACAGTGTGTAAAGTAGGGCATGAACTTGACTTCTGAAGATGGACATTTGAGAATTATGAAAGAATTTGCTCAAATTTGCTTGTTTCTTGATTTGTTACACTGCTTTCGCTGATTTAAGGTGAATTACGGTGGGGAAGGAAAAAAGAAGCAGAAAAGCTATGCTAAAAACTATGACATAATTTACAAGAGAATTGGATACATGTCAGAAGATGAAGAATATAAAGGAATATAACAAAAGAACACGGAAATGGGAATAGAGTTAATAGATCTAGTTGAGGAGTTAGCACATTCTGTGGTGTCAGTGCTGTAAATCTTTCACTTTAATTTTTCTCACAGTGAAACAAATGCAAAAGGAGAAAGTGTGAAGCTCGTGATGGCTTTTTGTTGTAATCTCATAAGTGAGACTTTTATCTGATGTAGGAAAGTTGATGCATGGCCTGTGTCTGGAAGACACAAGATTAATAAAAATGTCTGTTAATAGCTACCCAAACAATTTCTGACATATCTTTTTATATTGAATTTAGATTGGTTTAGCAGTGGGAGATATTGCTGAAGTCCAGAGAACTGCATCCTTAAAAAGGATTGCAATGCAGGTTAGTTTTTATGATTCAGTGAAGATGTTCAACCTTTCTGAAGAAGAAAGGAATGTAGCATTATCTTGAAAACATTTAACCCAAAATACTTTTATTCTTGTAGATTTCTCTTCATACCAGTTTGGAGGAAAAACTCCCCTATCGGTTCCTTAACCGGGTTGACCAACAGAAAATAGTAGTATATCCTAACAAGGCAAGTGGCAGTATGGTTGAGGTAGGTATGTGAAAAACTGCAACAAATTCATTGACTGTGCACTGGGCAGGTGAAAGAGTCAAGGGATATAGTGGTTAGAAGTTGTTAACTTTGTTTCTGGAAAAGTAAATATTCTAAATGCTGTAGCTGATGATGTTGGTTTAGATTTTTGTGTGCATCAGAGGTAATCTGACCAAATGGATTTGCCACCCATTAAGAAGCTGTCAAATTTTAATTCCAATGAAATGACTTCTCTTTGAAACAAATTGAAAAGAATATCAGGTAGTGTCCAGGTATGTGTAGGTTAGGTGGATTAATCATGGGAAATGCAGGGTTATGGGGCTAGAGTAGTGGGGTTGGTCTGGGTAGGATGCTCTTTGGAAGGTTGGTATGGACTCAATGGGCTGAATGGCCTGCTCCTGCACTATAGGGATTCTATGATTCTATGAACACAAATGTAAATTTAAGCCCCAAGTCGGGATCAATTGAAATCTGCTGCTTCCTTTCAAACTATGAATATGTTCTTAAGTGAGGTTGAGATTGACCATGCTGAACTTTGCAATATTCTATTGTTTCCACATGGAAGAAATTGACGCATCTAAACAAACGCATGTTGATATTGATTATCAGGTGGCTGACCGGTGGAAGACACTGGCCATCTGACTGATTGTGTTGGTTGAAGTCTTGGTTCATTATCATTTTGCTTTGGGCACTCCATTGTAGCCAGTCTGTTCAAAACTGGCACCCTAAACCATCTAGCAAGAAGGTAGAACTGCAGTGTCATTTGGAACTTGAGGATTGGCCTATGAAAGTTGTGTAAAGATTACTCTAAAGCTTCAGGATAAGTGACCAATACAGGTACAGAACCTGAATGCTGATTTATTGCTGAGGAATTGGTGAATGGCATTGGGGTGAACCTTAAAAAAATCATTAATGATTGTGAGAGACATTGGAATTGGCTAAATTATCAGACAAGCTCATCATAACGTTGTAAAGAATTAGTATGTAGTAATTAGTGTGAGAAATACTAGATACAGCATTTTTAAAAGTAGCTTATTGTACATTAATTGTCTGTGGACATTTCGAAAGAAGTAAAACCTGAAGTCAATGGACCAGATTTGCATACATCTGTCCTTGTTGTAAGTAGGGAGATTTACTAATACCAGACAGGGGCCAATACCAGAATTCCTCTTCCCCCACCCCCAACCCCCACCTCGATTCCCCGTGTGCTGAATTGTCATGGTTCCAGGGTAAGTGTGCAAGAAGGGAGGCTACACTCAACTCTCCTGCCCTTGCCTACTCTACTTTGGGTATGGTGTTTGAGAGCTTCCCCTATTTCTATGGCATTGGACCTATTCATCCAGGAAGCCTGATTCATGCTACCTTGTCAGCAATAGGGAAATCCTATTGTGTAGTCAGGAATATTTTAACAGGGAGGTTGCCAACGTCATCTATCATAAGTTTTCTCGTTTGTGAGTTGGGCAACTTTGGAACTCTTCTCCCCAGAGAATGGCGGAAGCAGATTCACTGAATATTTTTAAAGCAGAGGAAGTTTGATTCCTATGTTATGCATCTCTTGGTATCTGTGGTTATCAGTGGAATGTGGGAATGTGGATTGAGGCCATAATCAGATCAGCCACGATCTCGTTGAACAGCAGAACATGCTCAATGTGTCAGACCACTATTCCTGCTGTCGTTTACTTGTTTGTGTAATTAACTGCTGTATGATAACTTAACATTGTTTTTAATGCAATGATTGTTCATAATGTTTTGTCTTTAAAGGGTAAATGACCATTAAACTGACCGACGTTGTGTGAGTGTTCACTTGTATTAGTTTACATATCCAGAGGATGAAGAGGTCTTCTGTGTTCAACATTTTTCAGAATCTGCCTTTATTGTGTCAGCTGGAGTTTGTGCTTTCATCTTCAAATTCTTTTAAAGTCCAGAGATCTGCTGAGCCTTTGAAGCACTCTTCCAATATTCATTGCAAGCAGAACCTGTGTCCTTTAATAATACTGGGAAGTCTCTGATATGCTCAACGAGCTGTCAAAATAAACAAACATCCATTCAAACACCTGTTGAGTAATGAGTTCTGCCCATAGTGGATACTGGTTCAGTGGGCACAAGGACGCATGGGGCAGTTGGAGGGTATGAAGGGGTGCAGGAGATAATAGGCTTTGAGGGGTATGGACGAGACATGGAAACGGCTAGAGTTTTAAAGTGAGTGAAAGAATGAGGGCCAGAGTGACTGCAGCACTGAACTAATGCCCTGGAGACAGAGATCAACCTTCTAGCTTTCCACTGCAGCATCTGACCACATCCGTTCTTACCTCAAGCCTGCTTCTATGAGTAACTGCCCTGACTCCAATCAATCCCTACCAAAACATGGTGAAAATAGTGTGGACAGGTACTGCAGGCAGGAAGTGGGATTGCTATATTGGAACATAGTCTGACTATGATTCCCATCTCGCACAGGTGCCTTGCCCTAGCCACTAGTTTCATCCCCTTTCCTAGCCACTTGTCTCAGGTGAAGCAGACTGTTTGTAACCTCAGCATCCTATTCAGCCTTAAACTAAGCTTCTAACCACATATCCTTTCCTTCAGCAAGACCCACCTACTCTACTTCTGTAATATTTCCTGTTGCCATCCCTGCCTCAGTCCATCTACTGCTGTGATCTTCATTCACCATTTTATTTCCAGCATATTCACTTAAATGTTCTCTTGGCCACCGTCCCATCATTAAACCCATTTGCCTATTGATGCTTTATTTGCTAACAACTTTGGTTCATAGACCAGTCATGTGTAAGATTTAAAATTCACGTCTTTCCAAATCCTTCTATGGCATTCTCCCTCCTTGTTTCTGTAAACCCCTCCACCTCCAAGTCCTTTGAGAACTCTGCAAACTTTAAATATGGCATATTTTGCAACCTAATCTATTTACGTCCATTATGGCTTCAATTGTCTGCGATCCTGGGTTCCGGAATTCCTACACCAAACCATTCAGTTCTCGACCTCTCTCTCCTCTTTTCTGATAACCTTTAACATCTAGTCCTACTATATCCTCTTGTGACTTGGTGTCAAATTTTGTCCAATAATATTCCTATGAATTCAGAGTGCTCAGTGTACTTAAAATGTGTCTTAGGTGCAATGAGATGTTTTATTTTTCCCCCTGTTATAGTTGGATCACTGGTTAAAGTGGAACCAAATGGTTTGAATGACAACTCACATCAGGCAACAGTTCCATCCCCTGAGCCTATATTCATTCCTGTCTCTGTGTATAGGCACAACGATTCATCCTCAATTAATGAATGAAATACTTTTAACTGAGCACTCAGTACTTGTATGTAATGTCTTCTTCCATTAACATGAAAGTTTTAAGTATCATTCCTCTTTGTCCAAAATAACAATGCACAATCTTGTTCAGCTGGTTGAAAGAGTTTATGGCTTGTAACCAAATGGGAATCAAACTTTTGTGACAGTGTAGTTTGTAGCTGCTTCATTATTGAAATGTGACATGAGATGAAAATATATTGGCCAAATGTGTTTCTCTTTACAGGCTCTGGTCCGGAATTTTTCAGAATCACAAGTCTGTGACCCGGCCTCTGAAGTGAAATGTCAGGGAATTGATTACAGAAAGCTTGAACTGCAACTGGAGAAACAGAAATATAGGTCTAGAATCACCTATCATAAATTCAAATTATATATCAAAGAAATGGAATTTTACCATGCTTATTCTTTTAACCTTGTTGAATTTGCAGGTTGAAGGACATTTCAGCCACAATGGAGAAGCAGAATGAGCTTCTAATGCTCATTAGTCAAAACTTGGGAATTAATTTTGAGGCTGCAGAGCAGGACCAAGAAACTTTCTCTCAACACAGAAAAGCAAAAGGCAACAAGAAGAAGATGAACATAATGGAATCGTGTGCTAGCATTGAGGATATATAAGCAGTAATTTTATAGTTCAGATTTTTCTTGTGTTGAAACTAAGCATAAATGTACTTTATAAGATGATATTGTAATGTTATTTCAAATATCTGATGAGCAAAGCGAAAGTGCAGTGCTGTCTAAATTTTAATTTGAAATAAGCTGCTTAATATTCTATATCTATTTTAACTGAGTAAAGGTGAAAGAAAAATTCTCTAAAGTACATTAGATCCATGCACTTTAGGCTGCATTTGTTTTAACTATTGCAGTGTAGGCCCATGTTCCATGAATCTGCATGGGTCATTTGGATTTTGGCAGTATAATTTTCAAAATAAATTACTTTGTTTAAAATGATCAATTATGATATTTTTGAATTAGTTAACAAAATGCTACACCTATTACTGAGGATAATGTCTAGGAGCTGTAAATTCTCTACATGCTATAGTACAGATGTTCTTGATGTGGACTGTAATTTGGCCTTTCGTTTCAGGATATATTGATTGTCATACCACTGTAACTGGGCATCAAAGAGAAATATAAAGAAGAAAAATAGAAGGGGTGTATTTTCTTGGATGTACTTCTACTGTTCACTGTATATTTACTTCAAGCAGCTTTGAAATCCAAGAATAACATTGTATCTTAAATGTTACGTCCAAATATCAGCACAGATTGAGGAAATGTGCTATTCAGCTTGAACTGCAACACATTATTAATTTATTTGACAAAAGCTGCACCTAATAGAAACTTGGAGAAGATACGGTGGTTCAGAGGATTCATCAATACATTCTAATGAAGCCAGCTTAAGAAATATTGTTAATCATATTTAGCTTTAAATGTGGAAAGTAGATGCAGTGCTTAAAGGTTATTCAAATAAACATATGTATGAGCTTTGTAGTGATGTTTCCTGTGGCTTAACTGGTCCTTATCAGTTTCACAAAATAGATGCTCACACTGTTTCCTATGAAGTTTGTGTTGTTATCTAGTTTAGGCAGATAGAAATAGATATGGTTATGTGGGTTCCAGCTTTCTATGAACTTTTCACGTGTGTGTAAAAAGTGCTTCCTGATTTCTATCATAAATACTCAGGTTCTAATTTTCAAGATTTGCTCTTCGTCCACCAAAGGGAACAATTTTTTTGTATGCATTCAATTGAATGCTTAATCGTTTGAGATACCTTGATTAGGCCACTCCTTAACATTCTGACTTCCACATACCTGTAATGGGGATCAAATTTGTGCAACCTGTTATGATAATTTAGCTCTTTAAATCCTGGTATCAGTCCGGTGAATCTTATGTATAATCCTGACATTTTGTTGAATGGGTCTGACCAAGGCTCTATACAACTGAAATGTCACTTATTCACTTTTGTATTCCAGCCCCATTGAGATAAAAGTCAACAGCCCATTCACCTTTATTCTTTCCAACTGTTGTGACATTTAGGAATTTGTGGATATAGACTTCAATGCCTTACCTCTTCCACAGTTCCAAATTCACCATTAAGATATTTCAATTTGATTTTCATGGACATTATGCTATTCCACATGGACTTCCATTTATCATAATTTTTGCCAGTCACCTGACACTGCTGGGAGTGTTGGAGGTTTTGCCCACACATATTGGCTACCAGCTCCCAAGGATGGGATTCCCTCCTGAGTAAGAGACTGCAGTCCCACAGTTAGATCATGTACCCTGTCCTGCTGGTCCCTCAGCTGAGCATTGACTTTCCTCCAGGGTGGTGAGCAGCCCCACTCCAACATTAATTTTGCCCCTACTTATTAACTCTTTTACACTATTAGGGCACAATCTAAACCCAAAGTAGACTTTTCACAACCATAGTGTCAGAGCTGAACCCAACATATAGTTGCTGATTTGTCCATGCTGTCATTACGCGTTATTTCCATTTCTGTAACATCAACTGACCCTGATCCTACCTTAGATCATCTGCTCTTGAAACCCTCATTGATGCTTTGTTTTTATTTCTAGACTTCCAATGCATTTTTGGTCAGCCTCTCACATTCTACCGTCTATAAACTGGAGGAGATTCAAACTCTGCTGTCTGAATCCTTACTTGCACCAAGTCCCATTCTTCTATCATCCTTGTGCCTTTTGATCTACATTGGCTCCCATCAAGCATAGCCCTAATTTTAAAATGTTCATCCTTATTTTCAAAGCCCTTCATAGTTTTGTCCCCTCCTTAACTTTCTAATCTCTTCTAGCCCCTAGGCTCTCTAATATATTTGGGATCATGTTTCTGTGGCCTTCTGAGCATCTTTAATTGTAATTATTCCACCATTGGTGCTCACACATACAGATATCAAGGCAATAAGTTGCAGAGCTCCCTCCCTCAATTTTTCTACCTCTCTTTCTTCCTTTAAAACGCTCCTTAAAACCCACCTTCCGAACCAAATCTTCTACCATCTGCCCTTCATTGCTTGATGTCTAATTTTACATAATAATGCTCCTATGAAATACTTGGAAATGTTCCGATAAATTAAAGACACTACAGAAATGCAAGTTGTTGTTTGACTTTATTTTTTCTTCTTCTATTGTTTTTCAGTATGGATCAAAGCATTAGTGAAAGGAAAAGTTGAAATTTTATAATGTAGTTAGATGTTTGAACTCACTTTGTGAAACATACTGAGGGATTACATCGATTGCCATTAGAGAACTCAGGTGAGACGAGCTTAATTTGGGATTATGTTTGGCATGGACTGGTTGGACCGAAGGGTCTGTTTCCATGCTGTGTAACTCTATACCTGTGGGATTCCTAGCTATATTTCTGACGGTTTTTCTGGTTTTGTGTTTGTAATGACTGGAACCAGGTTGACCTTGTTGACTATGAAGTTGTTGATTGGGGTTGTTAGCCTGGGCCAATCAAGAAAGCCCTGGCTGACCAATATAACTAGGAGATTAGAATCTCCTCAGTTCATGCGACTGACTCCAAGCTGGCTGGCTACAGCCAGGGTACTGTGCACAAGTGACAGGGAGGATACTGGCCTCTGTGCAGTTATTTCAGAGTTGTACTGTGTTGTTTTATCTGCTTTTTGCTCTTTGCTTTCTGTTTATTGTCATGGCCATGGGTCCTAACTCCACAACACCAATGGTCATACTGAAATGTTGAACAAAACATATGTTTTTAACTAGTCAACTGATCGAGTCAAGAAGACAGTGGATGTAAAGTTAATGGCTGTCTGAGAGGGGAGCAATTCTGAAATGTCATACCCGTAAAGAGTCAGGGTGACATTAAATGGAAAGCCTAAAAAGGAAGAGGTGATGAGAGGCTGATTACCCAATCCCATTTTAGTAGGAGGCTACCTCCTGTAGCCTTGTTGCACTTTGGCCTTTTAAGGATACATAAATAAAAGGATTAAAAGTGAGATTCAAATGTTCTAACATGTGGATTAGTGTTCTCTGAAGGTCACAGCGATAAGAACCACCGTTAAACACCACTGCAATGTTAGTAAAGAAAAGACTGGGACACTATTATTGAGTGCTGGAGGTCAAATAAGCAATAGCCATTGTGAAAAGAATCTCAATCAGCCTACAAAGCCAAGAATCTTAAAATTGACCATTCAACTATCAATATGAGCATCACCAGTGACATTCACTGTGGCAGCCATCACACTCAATTATACATTCTTCACAAACAATTCAGAGACCGATCCATACACTTTTTTTTTAAACTCATCTCTTTGGATTCACCACTTATTTTTAATCTGCAAATGCATGAAATGTTACTATTTCTTCTTGTGTTGGTAATTAATAAACTTGCTCTTTTTATTAATTCAAGAAAACCTGGTTACATTGGTGCCTTTTAAATTATAAGTTCATCTGGGTCTGGGGGAAGGTATTCACAGATGGAAGGCATCTTTTTTAACTTAGTTTATTGTGATCAACCTGGGAGTAGGTGAACAAAGAAGGCAAACCATTTCACCCCTCCTCACCTGGGAGCTTAACGTTTTGAGGTATCCTGCCTAACATTATAGCAAGGACTGGTCGTAACAGTGTGTAACATGTACGTTTAACATTGCGCTCCTCAATAATTTTGAAACTGAGGAAGTTGATATTGATAAGTTGCAGATCCACTCAAAGCTTGTGTTGACTCTGGAATGTGTTACTGGCAAACTGTTATAATCTTGTCAACTATGTTCACCTCCATTCTGACCTCACACAGAGTGGATCTCCTCCAAAGGCAATGCATTAGTATATAAGTCACATTAATTCTTGCAGAACTGCAGAACTACACAGAACAAAGGAAAAAATTGAGAATAAAGAAAATTTTTGGGCATGCACCCAGTTTATGGAGGTACAATATGACTCAGAATGCTGGTATCCAGGTACCCCTCTGTTGCTCCTCCTCCTTGTTGGTAGAAAATGCCACCACCATCGCACCTTGAGGGGAAAGGACATCTGGAGGGAAGTCAAGACCCCTCAGTCCCCTCTTGCTGAGCCGATGAATGAATGCATCAATGGCTTTAGTGATGGGGTGAAGGTCCTTGTGCATATTTGGAAGGTATGGAAGATACTGATTTGTCTGCTGGACCTGAACAATGGCAGGTGGGCTGTACTGTTGGCCAGTATGGTGGCACATGGTTAGCAATGTTGCTTCACAATGCCAGGGACTTGGGTTTGATTCCAGCCTTGGGTGACTGTCTGTATGTTCCCCGTGTCTGTGTGAGTTTCCTCTGGCTGATCCAGTTTCCTTACACAGTGCAAAAATTTGCAGGAACAAAAACAAAGTTGCTGGAAAAGCTCAGCATGTCTGGCAGCATCTGTGAAGGGAAAAAACAGAGTTAATGTTTTGGGTCAGGTGACCCTTCCTCAGAACTGGTTTTTGTTTTTGTTCCTGATTTACAGCATCTGCAGTTCTTTTGGTTTTTATTTGCAAAGATGTGGAGGTTAGGTGAATTGGCCATGCTATAAGTTGCCCTGTGGTGTGCAGGTTTGATGGGTTAGCCATGCAGGGATGGGGTGGGTCTCGGTGGGATCTTATTAGACTGCTGAATGGACTCCCTAACTGC